GCACATAAAGGGCTACAATTTTGATCCCATCTTGATGAAACTTAGTATATATGTATATATTGATGAGATTTTGGTCAAGTTTGAAGTTAGTAATGATTGGATGAACGATTTCAGAGTTATTGCCCTTGACTTAGTTAAAATGCGTTAAATTTGGCTTGTATGCACAATAAAGGCTACAATTTTGATCCCATCTTGATGAAACTTAGTATATATGTATATATTGATGAGATTTTGGTCAAGTTTGAAGTTAGTAATAATTGGATGAATGAGATCAAAGTTATTGCCCTTGATTTAGTAAAAACCCTACAAATTTGACTTGTATTCATGAAACTGGGTGCAGTTTTTATCTGATCTCGATTAAACTTGGTATGCATGTTTATATAACAAAAGATCTCAGTCAAGTTGAAAAAGGTAACAATTGGGTGAACGGTTTTGGAGTTATTGCCCTTGAATTAATTCAATGCATCTAATTTGGCTTGTTGATAGAGACTACATTTTTTATACGGAGATCTCTGTAAAGCTTGAAATTATTAAAAATCGGATGATAGGTTTAAACATATTGAACCACTACAGACTTTGTTATCATTTCTGACATCTGGAAGTGGGCGTATGTTACCTTGACTGGCTAACTATCTTTTTCTCTCATGTGACTTGTACTTATAAATTATAAAATTGTCTCTTTGATATTTAAAGGTATACTCTCTCTTAGGATGATCAAAAAATTGAAATTTTTAAACTCGACCAATATGAGTCTTTTTTCACCTGTGGACTTACCTGTAGTCAAAACTATACAACAGAATCCCCCTATAATCCAATAAATCCAGAAAACCAAGTAATAATTCATTAATCAAAGTAATTTTGAAACATTCTGATAAATATCTATCAATACTTACTTAGTTTTAAGGATATATATTGTCTTATATAGATATTCTATTCTTTAGTCATGGCATCTATTAAGTCCAACTGATGAATATATATACTTGTTGACTAGGTTTGAGACTTTAAATTTATGTCCATTCTAAGAGGTAGTATTCTTAAAAAGCAATGATCTCCCTTTATATATGATCAAGTTATATTCAACAATATTCTGGTAATATATTATAGGTTTAGATATTTTCCTGTAAAAAGAAGATTATTAACTGAAGATGAATATTTAGAAATGAAAGAAAGAGAAACAGAAAAAGCTTTAGAAGAATTAAGGGAATATTGTAAAAGTCCCAAGTGTGATTCTTGGAAAGTTATCAGTAGAATTAAATCACCTAGCAGGTAGAATATATATATATATATAACATTTTACTAGATCACCTGATGATCCCAAGGATTGACCAAATCCAGAACAAAAGTTTTTCTCATTCATGAACAGATTTTTGGGGAGGCTTGGAAAAAAAATGTCTTAAAGGCAGGAAAATTGTCACCCTCTTGCTTCGGGATGTGCACAGACAATTTACCAAAGGCCAATGAATTTTGTGGCTGATAAGAAGGATCCTGGCAAGTCAAAGTTGATATCCTTGTAAAATATCAATCTTTCTCCATTAAATGTTTTTCATATTAGATATCAAAGAATTGGCCTTTAACCAATATTGGGCTCCAAGTGACTAGAGTTTGTAGAGAAATGCGGATGTCAGTAGTGCAGAGATATCAGTTCAGAGGAATGAAAATGGTTTTCGTAGCAGTTTTGTTATTTATTTTCAGATTTGCAAGTTTTGTAGAAGGTGAAGATCATCTATCTGATGATGAGTTTTATAATCATAATGTTTATTCTACACATTTACCTTCTGATAGTTACAGTGAAGATGAAATGTCAGAGATAGAATTTAGATCAACATCACCTTAGTTTGATATCACTAAAAATATCTAGTCATAAATTTCATTCATTCATTTATTCATTCATTCTCTAACCACATATCTTAAATTAATGGTGCTAGCAGCTAGGTGATTTGCTTTCAATGAGTATTGAGTGGTAAAAGTTTGTGACCATGTATTAAACATAGCATTCATGCACTGCCTTTACTGATAATGTTCTAATTATTCCTTATTTGAAACCAACTGAACCATTCATCTTGCAGAGATTTCCTCAAATGTTTAAGAACCATGAATTGGTCATAATTTTAGTCCTTACAATTCAATCAGATACTCAACAGTGTTTGTCATGATTCATGTATTAAAATGGCTTTTACTCTTCCCCATCAACTTCCATTTAAACATGTTGCAGGTTTTGTTTTAATATTCCATCCTCCATACAAATAGATTTATTTTGTTCTATTATGTCAGTGTGTGCCTTACAATTCTGTTTTATGCACATTTTATATTTTTATTGATGTTTCTAGCCAAAGACTGTAAGATATCATGTGTTGATTGAAACTGTATTAGTATAGATTGAAAACCAGTGAAATTCCAGTTATTTTTTTTATCATTGTTAAATACTGTATTGTTTTATGTAAAGAATTTTTTTAACATAATGTTTTCTTGTTGTAATTTAATGTCTTGGAGAGAGAAAGATTTGAGTCTTAACACTCTTGACCTTCAATATGGGTGACTATTTCATGCTATTTCATTTTGAATCATTTGTTATGACAATTTTCAGCATGAAAATCTAATACGAAGTTCTCCACAGTGTAGGATGAAAACTGTTCTAAATATATAAATCTATAAATCTTACGACACTTTATGAATTATGCAAACAGTGATTGACATGCTTGGTCCCGCCTTCATCCACACGGTTGTTTCAATGAGAAACTCCACAAACGATGCAAGAAATACACAAAAACACAGATTTCACTAAAATATACATATTTATTTAACAACGTAACAAGTTCTATTAATAAGTCTAATATAGACCAAATTAAAACACCATTACATATATTAGTTTAACCAATACAAATGCATAGGACAATTCCATACCAAAATACAGTTACAATAAAATATTTACATGTTTCTTAATTAATTATTTTAAGTAAAACTTGTACAAGACCTTAACTGAGTTATCTTCCAAATATTACATTAAATTAATTAACTTTGGCAAGGTGTTTTCACTTTAAATGTTATTTGAAGATTTGAATAATTCTTTCAGCCAAAAAAAGAAGTTTATATATACTCTAAAATCACAATTCTTAAACTTCAGATCCTATTAATTATCCTTCATTATGTTTCTTTTCATAATCTGTGTTTCATTTTATTTTTTATTGCAAATCATTGTACTGTTCTATATTTGTATGATGCCCACAAAGGGTGTATATATACAATAAAATCTTACTTACTTATATTTATTATACCATTAAAATATTCAATATTTCAGTATCCAAATAGTTTTTATCTTACATGGAATTAACTATTTATTAAGAAATATTGAGTACTGTAGAAATTATTAGACTAGAATTGAATTGGAGACTTATTTAGCTGAACAAATATTAATATGTCAGAAAGGGGACTAAAACTACCCATTTTTAAAGAGTTCGTTTTTTTTAACATCATCATTTATAATATCCTAAATGGGTCTACTGTTTCATTTTGAGGGTACGTAATTCTTGAATTGTCAGATAAAATGTTGCATTTATAGCTGAGAGTGACCTCTCATCAGCTGATAAAAGCTCATATATCTGATAGAGACAAATATATATATTAGGTAATTGAAATAACCACAACATTCCAACCATGACCCTTGTTAAAATAATGAAATTATAACAGATAAAAACTAATGATATCTCTATTTTTCACAACTGCATTCCTCTACTAAAAAGTATGGAAAATCTGTAATGACAAATACAACTTTCATTACAATTAGCTTATAACTTTCTTAAAATTAATATATTGTTATTTACATAATAAAACAAACAATATTAATAATTCATGCTAAATAATGGAACAAAACAGTTTCCAAGCTCTATTTTATTGGTAACAAAAGAAACAGAGCAGAGATCAAGTAAATTATACACTATAATGTATACCAGTAATTAAATGACAAGTTTCAATGGTTTGATGCCAAAAAATCAAACTTGGAATCACAATGCATACATTTTTATGAGATATTACTGGTTTGAAGATAAATTCATACCCTTGACATCAAGCATGTTACATACATCATTACAGGCTTTATCATTTGATTTCTTTTATTATTCTTCAACAAAGTAATCACAGTACACTAGTTTTAACAAGCTGGAACTGATTTTATAAAAATGACATAAATAATGAGTAAAGTAAATATTAAAGATCTTTTTTAAAAAGTCGACTTTTGACAGGGACTGTTTATACTAGTACATTGATTACAGTACTAGTAAAGAATGAGGTAGATTATTGGTAATCCAAGTACATAATTATATCAGTGATCTCAGTACATATATCAGTGATCCAAGTACATATATCAGTGATCTCAGTACATATGTCAGTGATCCAAGTACATATATCAGTGATCCAAGTACATATATCAGTGATCTCAGTACATATATCAGTGATCCAAGTACATATATCAGTGATCCAAGTACATATATCAGTGATCCAAGTACATATATCAGTGATCCAAGTACATATATCAGTGATCTCAGTACATATATCAGTGATCCAAGTACATATATCAGTGATCCAAGTACATATATCAGTGATCTCAGTACATATATCAGTGATCCAAGTACATATATCAGTGATCTCAGTACAGATATCAGTGATCCAAGTACATATATCAGTGATCCAAGTACATATATCAGTGATCTCAGTACATATATCAGTGATCCAAGTACATATATCAGTGATCCAAGTACATATATCAGTGATCCAAGTACATATATCAGTGATCAAATCAGATGATGAAATATGCAGATCTTCACCAGACCTTGTATTTTAAAGATAGGTTCTTGTATTCAATTCAATTCAATTTATTTCACACCGTATTTTAACAAGAAGAAGTCTCTTCTGTACCAGTTTCGGCTCAAAAGGGCAGGTAATGTCATTCAATGGGCCATGAAAATATTTTGACAAGATAGTGGCATACTCTTTTTCAATTTCCAACCTGTCCCATTTGATAGATTCTCAAATACAAATTCTATGAAGTTAATATACTTCATAGACTAACATAATTTTTTCAAAAAATTGCAGGAACCCATCCTAAAATGTTCCATGAGATGACTTTGATGCAATCTTTTTTGATAAAAAGAAATGAAAAGAGAAAGAAATATAATGAGAGCATTTTGATTATTTCAACACTATCACAAAAAATAAAACATCTACAAAATATTTGGAAGTGGTGAGAAATTTTCTCACGGAAATCATTTTATAAAATTATCATGTGAAGAGATGACTGACAATAAAATCATTAAAAATATCAGACTTGTGGAGAGTATTTATACTGCCAAGTTTTTAAAACAAATCATTCTACTTTTTATTATCGATAATGCCTATTTTAAAATGACTAAAATAACTGAAATTTTGTTTCTTGACAAATTGTATGTTGACACATATACCCAATGATAAAATCATCAATATAAATATGTATGTAATAATGTCTGAAATATTACTATTAAAGTTGGTAAAAGGCTGAAGGTAGATAAAACATCAATGACAATCTAAAAAAATTTTATATCTTTCATAATTCAGGTAGATCTAATGATGAGACTAGATTTTTATATGAATTAGGTATTGTCTAAAATATCCATTAGATGACAGAGAGTCTACAATGTAAGTTTTTGCAAGTCCTGATACAAAGAAGAGAAAGAGTACTATTTAACTGATCTGTATGACATTACTGTCATATGTTCATCTTGACTAAAGAAGAGTATAAGATAATTATTTAGATGGCACTATTGACCATTAATCTCTGTATTTCCCTTTAGTTATGTTATTCAGACATGATATTTCCTTGACACAACCACCAAACTTGTATTTAGTCATAATGTAATATTCCTATCGTGCTATTCCTATTGACCTATTGTAAGCTGTAGTATAATAGTTTCTATGTGATTGATGACCATTATTATTAAATGGTGAGGAAGAACTCCAATCAGATACTGGAATATCAGAAGAATAAACTTTAGATGCTGTCGTATTATAAACTGGTAATCTTTCATTAGCTTCATTAGATAAAACCTGAAATTAGAAATCAATTTCTACTGACAGCTAAATATAAAGCCAACTAAATATAAAGACAACTAAATAAAAAGCTAATATCAATCAAAATGAAACCATTCTATAACAGTTTGCTTTTAAGTCACCTGTTTAGATATTTTTCGTTTTTGCAAGACAAAGGGTTTGGTTCAGCTTGCTAATCTGAGCAAAGACTGGGACTTCATTTTAGCTTATCATCCTGGGTTAGTCAGTAAAATGTGTTATAAATACAAGATCTGCCCTGATAGCCATTCTTCTACAGACAATTAATACAATTAAGTTAATCTGTAGAAGTTGACTATAGTCACATCAGAGTAGAGATACCGGCATATCAGGAAATCTGACTTAGTTTGGCCTTTTCAGCCCCATACATATGGAAAGAAGAATGATTCCTGCTATGAGATTGAACATTATATCCAAAGCTGGCACCACAACATGGTGAAAATATCATATTATGTCAAATCAAGAGTTTCCGTTTAAACAAATGACTAACAATTTTTTTTTTCAAAATTTACCTTTAAGTACACAATAGCATCTGTACCAAAACCTTCAAATGAGTTTAATATTAAATCACCATGGAAATATCTAGCATACAGTCTTGATAGTGGTAAACCATAGCCATATCCAGCCTGAAATAATATATTAATCACATAGATTAGTCAAAAGACTCATTATACTTTTTTATATTTGTAATTAGTAAAAAGATATGATATGCTACTATGTGTTATAAAGAATGAAGTTTGGTGATTTAAATGCAAAATATATTAATAGGAATTTTGTTTTTGTAATATTTCTGCATTTGTCAAGACTCGAAATATTGGTCATTCAGCAGAACAAACAACACTTTGTACTAAAGCTTAACTTTTTTGGGAGACAGTTCTACTTTATACCAAGCTACTACCAAGACAAAAGCCAACAAGCAAATATCAGATGGTGATGAAATGTAGGTTTATACTTACTAATGGTGCTGAACCTGAGTCAGATCGGGATGGTTGGGGTGCTGTAGAATACATATATTGAAATAACAAGTCAGTTTTACTTCTAGGTACTCCACCACCTTCATCAGATAACTGTAAAGAGAAATATCCATTCGTAATCATTTATATTTACAACAGTACTGAAGTTTATATTTACATTAGTACTGATGTTTATATTTACATAAGTAAATTATTTATATATTTATATCAGTACTGATCAGTACTTATCATACTTACTTTTATAGATAGATCTTCTTCCCCTTTTACAACCATAACATTTAATTTAGGTACTTCTGTCTCATTAGAGTGGTGTTCAACCACAGCTCTCATAGCATTCTAAAAAAAACATAAAAACAAATTCTGTTGAAAATATCAAATACATCCAAAAATAAAACCTCTATAAAAATATCTTATTAATGTATGATAAATTTGTATTTTTCACCATAATTAGTCTTGATCTTTACTAAAAAAAAAGTAAGAGAAGCTAAAAGTGCCCTCACACAGTAGCTATTACCAGTTGCATATGGTTGTGAATAATAAAAGTGGTTATGAGTTCATCATATCAGTTGCATGAGAGTTCTGTAAGCTTTTCTTATTCACATACCATACTATAGTGTGAGGGCAGACTGCCAATTCACAATTACATATTTAAACATGTATATCAAATGAAAATTTACATTCACATGACTATGTATTTACTTGGTACCAGTATATACTAATTATAGGAAGTTTACCTTGAACAATTCAAATAACATATGATATAGATGAGAAGGTACATAAACTATACTGTCTCCATCTTTAACTTTATTAGATAGTTTACAGGTTATATCTAATTCTGGACATAATAAATAATACTGTTCACATAGAAACCTGGCATTCTCAAACGCATCTACAAATAATTATAACACTATCATTAGACATCATAAAATCATAATTCATGTCATACAACACTTTTTTTTGTACTGATGTACCCTTTCAAATTGAGTTTTTAACCAATGCTGGAAATCTCTGCAAATCAATTTATAAGTCTGACAAGAGATACAAAATTGAGAGATTTAAGGTGAATTTTGTGTCAGAGAGTTATCTACATATGCATCAACCTGTGCTTATAAATTCTTCCTTTCTCTTAATATATAGACTTATATTGTAATTACTAATAGAGTAATTACCTTGTACAACATGTAAAACATTACAATTAGGATCTATTGAACCAACATGACGAGGATGATGTCCTATTTCATTACCAAATAATAATGCTGAAATAGAAAATCAATGAAATGAATCCTTGCTGCAATATGATATCATGCTGAATCAATTGTCAAATATGGAAACCGAATAATGTGAAGAATATAGGAATTTGAGCACTTTATTTCATTCTTATGTAAATAAGACAAAGCTTGATAAATGTTGCTCAGCCACACTACAAACATTTCTGGTTATAAAATAATCCAACTCAAACTTACTGTGTTGATTGATTAACATCCTAATACTAATACGTGACATATAAAATCTATCTAAAAAATATTGTATTCTATTTTCTGTATTATCATCTATTCCATGAGTTTCTTTTAATTCTAAAATACCCTGCAATATAAAATATTTCATTAATAAAACTCAACACAGGTTAGTTAAAATACCCTCAAATGAGGCTGCTGTTTTTTCAAACAAATATTTCAATAAACATGACTATTCTTGTATTTGTCTGACATATTACCCACTTAAGTAAAGATATAACCTATTCTCTATTCTCTATCAAAGCACAGGTTATTTTATGGATAGATACTTCTAGAATATTTATTACTTCCAACGTTTCAACTTATTGTTTGTACCCATTATTAATTTCTTGATGACGGTGTGAGAACCACATTGAAACATTGAAGTAATAAATATTCTAGAAGTATCTATCCATAAATTTTTCTATATTATCTATATTTTTCATAATTCATTCTAATGAATTGGAGGTTTGGACAACCATTATTTTAGAATACTTTCATTAGTAGTTTATTTATAAAAAAAAATCTATACCTGAGCCATTGTTTCTACGACATTTGTGTGTCGATTTCTGATCTGTATTAATCTGTCTGTAAAACTGAAAAATATATTAATCAATTGTTAAAGAGATTTGATTAACATGTTTTGATGGTTGAGGACAGAAATATATAGTATAATACTTTTCAAATCAAACTATACTCATTAGATTTAAAAGCAAAAGGTTATTTTTGACTCATTTATGTTTTTTTAATATGATGATTTGGGGATAACAATTCAGAAGAAATGTTCAGAAGACTTACTCTGTGAGGCCAGCTTTATCATCAATATTTTCAAACTGTATTAATTCCCTAAAACTTTGTTCATACCTGAAATACATCATGTTTAAACGAAATTTAATAGAAAACAAAGTAATTTAAAAGCATGTATAAATAAATTGATATAGAATATAGTACCAATATGTGAATGTATGAAATATTTTTTATTTAAATATAAATGTATAGCTAAATTAGTATAAACAGTATGATTTTTATGAGATATGTTTAGTATTAAAAATCAAACATTCAATTAATTCATAACTTCGTATATTTTAAGTTACAGTTGAAAATTGCAGGTATTTTTTGTTTAATAAAATGAATTTTTTTTAAATAACATTGTAGGCTTGTTCTGATTTCATAAGGTAAAATAACTAAAGACAAATTAAAGTATGAAAGAATGAAAGTTGTGAGATCCTTCTTTTTGTTTCGTTATTTAATAAGTAAAAGTTTATTATAAATTTTGCCTAGTTAGAGGTCACAAGGTAATATAAAGTTTCACTTCCTATTTTGCACATGTTCATATTAGGAGATAGAATTTTTAGTGGGTAACCTACATATATTAAGTATAAGATTGTAGGCTAGTTTGGGGTCACAAGGTAAACAAACTAGAAGATAATTATCTAGTGGTGACCAAACTTCAAGGTTTTTATCTTGGTTATGTCAACATTACCACATTAAAGTACCTATCAATCAAGGCCCTGGGTTAGTGTTCTTGACAAGGTAGCAATAAATTTGAACCACTTATATCACAGAACAACCACATAGTATAAAAGTGGTAACTAAGGCCCTATATGCCAATATAATTACAATTTTGTTCTCTTTTATTATCTTATATTATTCATCTCCATTGTAATCTAACAAGCTTTCTGCTTATATGCAGACTGCTTGAAAAGACATGTGTGCCCTTCATTCGACCAATCGTACCTTAGTCTCAGAAACAAGAATAAGCTAATCAGTAATATCGTTCACAGCTCACCTTTGCAATTTGAGCCTTCAAATCTAATTGTCCAGGATTATCTGCATTTTAAAGTTAAAAAGACTTTCAAGAGACTATTCCTCATATTGTCTTTTCTTGAGACTATATAGAATTAGACTAATATAAATAGAATATCAAATTCCTAGGTTGAGGTATTTTTGAAGAAATTATACAATTTTCGTACATTTCCAATACTTGCCCCTGAAAATGAGAATCTGTTCCTCTAATAAGGGAATTATTTTGGTGCTCTGCACTGTGAACTTCTGTGTGGAAATATTTAGAACTTTCACTAAACTACCTGCTTATATACCTATATATTTCTTATATAAACTTTGTCACTCAATTATTAAATAGAAAATTGTAATCTGATATAACAAAACCTTTCTGACCTACATGAGATACATTCAGTTAACAAAATTTGGGGGTTTTAATAGAAATGCAATAGACTGTAACGTTAGTTCCTTCAAATTTATATTTTTAAGTCAACAGGTAACTCCAACATTTATTACATAAAGTAATGGCAGATTTTTTTACAAAATAAACTAATGAGGGAAACATGCTCATGCAGATTTTTTTGACCATATACAAACATTCTTATCTACTGTAATTTATTACACTATTTACTGTTAAAGATTAAGGTTATGTCAGGTATATTTTAATCCATATTTAACTAGTTCCAACTAGGTTGAGCTTGAACTTCTTGGTAAACACAGACCAAGAAGTTGGTTATCATATTGGTATATAAATAGGTAGATATCAAAGTCTATTATATCTATCTGGGCTAATCAGTATAACATTATACCTTGTCTATTTAATTATTGGCTGACTGTCAAAATATTCTCAATGCATGTTTCAATGAGGTTGTCTGGTGTTTCAAACATATACAAATGTAATTGTTGTAATTAAATTCAACACTCTTAAATTCAATTCTTAAAATGTCAAGTGGGTAAATTTCAATTTCAATACCCTAATTTCAGCTTTGGAAGCATCAAAATGCTTCCTGCAAAAAGTATTGTTGCAGGTTACATTGAGAGTTGGTTAATACTGAAATAATTATGATAAATGTACACAGAGTGTTTTTTTTTTTTTAATGCAAAATTTAATTGGCATGCATCAACTTGAACCTCGTTTTTCAATAACACTTTTTATTTGATATGGACAAAATCTTATAAGTACATTCAATTAAAATTGATACTGTACTAAAAAATGCTAACTTCCCACATCCAATTCAACATGAAAAACAATGAAATTTATGACAAATTTGCTAAAATGAAAACTCAATGCATCACCTGACAATGGAATGCATACCAGTATATTCCTAGTAGGTTCATTGATTCTATTACTGGTATAGGTTTGCTTTTTGATATTTATTTTTGATGAGCATTTGTCTGGAACTTATATGAATGATTCTTACTCAACAGTAGTTTACTTCAAAAGTAGTTTACTTTTCATTTTTTTTCCAACGTTGATTTTGGCCTGGAACATTTGAAAATTATTTTCATAAGTACTAAAACTGGTTGAAAATACTACAAACAAGGAATCTAGCTTTTAATTTTTCTCTTTCACTAGTTCATCCTCTGTCTGAAAATTGGGGTTTCTGAAAATGTCTTGTTGAGAAGGTCTATAATATGAAATACTGTGTATGGATAATTTTTAGATTATCCAGTCCTTAACCGTTCTACATCATGGCAAAGTCTTGAATAAGGCAAGCTTATTTTCAAACATAAATAATTCTGGATATTCATGGCTAAGACATAAATTTTTGCAATAAACTGCAAAAACTATTAGAGATTAGCTTAGCTAAACAATTCTAATTTATAATTGACTTCGATATGGTGAATCATGGCCATTTATCAAAATATGTCTGGTAGCACTGCTTAAAGATTGAAATTTTACTGATTACATAAACTATAGACAAAATTAAATCATCAAAAATAACCAGAATAAACAGTTTAAATTGAATTGAATATAATTTTACCTGAAACCAGGAATGTATGAAAGATTCATCATAACTTTTGGCAAATATACAGATTCTATGATAACTGATAGATTTTTCTTAACTATACAACCTCTAAGTAGAACTATCTGTATGAAATGTCCCACATTTTTGCATAACATTCAGTTAGTAGACTGAAACTTTACTCAAAACCTACCCATAATTACAGCTTTCAAGTTGAACTCAACACTGTATTGTTTAGTTTAGTTCTGAAATGTTTTTATATTTTAGTTTTTACATCTTCATTTCTGGTGTAAATTTTTTCATTCATGTTATCATAGGGTATATTCACAGTCTTTTCACCAAGCTCTTTTAACTGATTCAAAGTTTTCTAAAGATCTATCAGGGAAACATAGGCAGAGCTAACACATAAGAATGTCTAAGTAGAAATTTTTCTTGATAATGTTTATAGCTTTTCTCAAACATGAAATGGTAGAAAAAAGATTATTGGGTTTATAACACAATCAAATTGGTTTTTATAAGATGAAGAAAGTTGGAAGTTCTGTGATAAATCTGTAGAATAAGAATATATTGATCTAGTCTATGTTGTATTAAATAGATAAGTCAGGTTATAGAAGAGTGATATATTGAATTCTTATATATATTGATAATCAATAGACCTTAATCAATTCTATAACTTCATTTATATCAAGTTACACCAGATATTTCATTATTTCTCCTAGTCTCTCATAGAAATTTACATCATTCTTATTCTCTCATGGAAATTGACATCTTTCTCATTGTCTTTACATCTTTCTCATTGTCTCATAGAAATTTACATCTTTCTCATTGTCTCATAGAAATTTACATCTTTCTCATTGTCTCATAGAAATTTACATCTTTCTCATTGTCTCATGGAAATTTGCCCTCTCAACTCTCAACTTTGGCCACATACATAAATTTATTGAAACACAGAAGTGACTCAGTATCTTTTAATGTAGCTTTTTTCATAACAGAAAAATACCCAGAAATTTGCATTGATTTCAAGAGAGCTTATTTATGTCCAAAGACCCCTTTCCCAGAGAAAAAAAACTAACTATGACTATGCAATTTTTCTTCCTTAAAAAAAGCCTTCAAATAAAATTTGGACTTTACATCAAGGCAATAAAGATAAATTTTGTCTTTGGTGATTGCCTGACTTTGAACATGTGAATTAATAGAGCTGTGATTATTTAAAAACGTGACAAACACACCTGAAATCTATATGTTAGATTATTTACAATCAAAGTTCACATGACATAACTTACATGATACAAATCATATGGTAAAGTGGGAAATACTGGTACAATATTTAAAATCTGTGACATTATGTAAGAGTAAATATAAGTCACAATGACATAGTATATCCTTATGTCAACTCTACTCCATGTCATTTTAACATTTCTGTACAAAATTGTAAAATTGTGTAATTGTATAAAATGATACAATATAGCTCAATATTAGATAGTACCTAGTACTTACTAATTCATAACTAATCTAACTGATGGCATGGTTAGTAAATAACTTAGTACTTACTAACTCATAACTACTCTGACCGATGGCATGGTTGATATATAACTTAGTACTTACCAACTCATAACTAATCTGACCGATGACATGGTTAATATATAACTTAGTACTTACCAACTCATAACTAATCTGACCGATGGCATGGTTGATATATAACTTAGTACTTACCAACTCAAAACTAATCTAACTGATTACATGGTTAATATATAACTTAGTACTTACCAACTCATAACTAATCTGACCGATGGCATGGTTAATAAATGGTCTGGTAATAATTTAATCTCTTTCATTATATTTGCCATACGTACTGGTAATTCTTTCCGTAAAAACTGGAATGATGCTTCTTGACACCCAGTTTTACTCCCTATAAAATAATGAGAGTCACCAACAAATAAAAAAGGTTCTTCCTTTGAACAGTAATGGCCTTAATCAATAAGGCATGATGTTCTCAACTTTGCAAACAGAATTCTGAAGTTGTCATTGTTTTCTTATAAGCTTAAAAAATATCATCAGTTAAGAGATAGTAGTTAAATTAGAAATAGGTTTGGTATTGCTACAACCATGTTTTAATAGTATTGTTTATATTATGACCTATGACATTATGATATCTATTACAGATCAAACGTTTCTCATGGTGAGCAATTTCTCCTGTTTGTGTGTAGGACTGATATGCCCCTTGACAAAGCTGACAATTCTACAGACATACAGTTCATTCAGCTTATATTTAGACAACTGAAAGCTTATTAAACTTGTTTTTGTGTAAAGACACTGCAGACAGTGTAATGTAAATGTCACGCCTTTTGTGTTTGGTAACCAAATTAATACCAAGTGATGTCACTTCATTACACTAGTAACTGATTGATTAATTAGTCATTCCTCAGATATGGCCAAGAGCAAAATTATTATCTCTTTGAAATTATTAACAATAGATGCTGGTGTATCAAGCATACCAATCTATAAAATGGTGACTAAGCATAATTGTCTTCATGAATATTGATGATATAGTAGTGGGATGATATGGACAATAATAGAATATCAATCTAATTTGGGAATCAAGTCAATTACAATGCCAATTTAACAGATCATTTTACCATAAAATTTTATCTAATTGTCAATTAAACAGAAATACAGTCTACAAACTGGTGATTTCCATATGTAATTAATTTTTTTTACTATTAATATAGTACCTACCTGTACAATTCACAAATTTTATCATATTTATATATATAATATAACAATTTTTTGACATAACATGATTGTTGTACTTGTAAAACACATGACAGTGGTTACTTTCAGAATTAGTCTGTTAGAATTGTTAACAGAACTTTTAAAAGGTTTTCAAACTTACCATCCTGTCCAAAATCTAACAGCTGACGTAACGTTAATGGTGATGGATTAAAACTAGCATATTTATCAAATGATGAAATATGTCTGGATGGAAGACATTTTAAGTATGGCATGACAAGTTTGTGACCCTGCGTACAAACAAATTTTAAACTATACATCTTGATATTAAGCTTTCAAACCACCTGAATACAAAAAATAATGCCATGTATAACCTTAATGAAGCTTATTCAAACAAAACATACAATATAATCCTATCAATAATACTTATTTCAAACAAAATTTGCCAAATATTCTAATTTGCTATGTATTGATTCCTTTAATTACCATTTTTGACACAAATCCTTATTTATTGATCGGAAGATCACAGATGTCCAGCAATTAAAACTCTTCAAATGACCAAGAAAAAAAAAACAGAACACCTTAAAGCATACAAACACCAATTACATCTCCGATAATTCACTCGAAATAAACAAATAACAGTTAAACTAATCTAGTTACTGTAAGATCTAACTAACTACTAATAACATAAACAATGTGTACGACTATTAATATTTTTTTGTCTCTGTGAGCTGAAATTGTGCCAGAGAATTTTGCTATTTTTGCCCACAGGTAGGCTTACTTAAAATGGGAACATGTTTTGAAGATTAACCCATATCTGTCATCAAAATAACTTATTTTTTTCTATTTTTGCTGAAAATATTGTAATTCGTACTGAGGAAGTTGCTAACATTCATACCAAACAGTCTTGGATAATAATAATGTCTAGGCCTAACTTAAGTCAAGACTAAGAAGGCTAAGACTTATCTTACAAAATTTTGATGTAGACTTTGAACCTTAACAAATTATGTTTTACCCAACTCATTTCAGTTTTATCTATTGCTTAAATCAATCAGTGCAACTTCCTCCACAAACGCACATACGAAATAAAATAAGTATTATCTGAATCAGAGTACTAGCAATACGCTAGATCTACATCCTCATCACTGCCCACGGAAGCAAATTCAAAACAAACCATTATTTCTTGATTAGTTCAAATTAACAATTTTACTCAAATCTATTTTAAATATAAATACAACAAGCATTACTTCCTTCACAATAATCATTATATTACGATATTCATCTCTCTATAAATCATCGTTTATATTCCTTTTTCTCAACATCAAAACGACGAACATCAACTTTCATTTTTTCAGCCATTTTGCTAACAAAAGTCTAAGGGGAAGTAACTCTTACAATGTCAACTTCTCAATTACATTTGGTAAGGCTAATATTTTTACTCTTAAATGAGGATTTTTGTTTATTTATTTGCTATAAATCAATATGTTTTCGTCATTTCGATCCAGATGAAAATGGAGAAACAGCTGTTCAGTTACGCTGATGTAAAGTCGATCAAGAAGGACCATCGATTCAAGGTCAAGGTTTTAGAGAAAGTCAAGGCCAGATGTGTATTATGATATAAACCATATCTAGGGACTAAAGTTATATTAAGCGCAGATAGCTTATAAGCCTAATACTGAAAGCAAAGCTACTTAATAAGGGTAGCGAATAGGCATACTTGGTCCAGCCTACATAGTCCAGCCTAATCGAAGGCGTAATACGGAAGTGCGTTTTATACCACACCTGCACTACATAGCCTAATTGCAAAAATACAATTACCAGCCTTGGCCTACCATCACTAACACTAAAATCACGGTAGATGTCTTCTCCGGTGGGAAAAAATGGTAAGAAACGCTTTTGATTAATTGCTTGCTCTATTCACGGGTAAAGCAAATATGATGACACCACCGCCTAGGCCTACTATCGTTAACGTATGCGGGACAACTTCTAGGCCTATCAATTTTCAGGATTTTCACGGGATTCGAAGATCAAGCAATAGGCTGCATGCTTTACATCCTGCAATGCCGATTTCAAATTATTTGAGTAAATTATAAGTTACCATAATAAAATTAATACAGTAAAATCAAAATGGCTCAGCAGTCCGCTTGTGAATTCGGTCAATATGTCAACTTGTTTAATATTTATGTCACACCGATTTCAACTGATTTCAACAAGGAAATAAAATTTCTTTTTAACTTAAGTAAATACCATTCAATAATCAAATTGTTTTTGTATAACCACCACTTTCTCTAAAAAAGGTTAAACAAATATCAATTTCTGACCGAATTTAGCAAATGATATTTTCAGTGTAGGTCTACCATGTAATTATAGTTGTAAACCACTACCGGTACGTTAAAAAAGCATTAAATGGGGCTATATACACTCTCTAATCAGGTCACCTAGAATCGAAACTGTTTCAATAAATCTTACTACTCCAGTCAGAATCCGATGCAAATATATAGATGTTAATCGTAGTTATTTGTTTTCTTTTCTCCAGATAAGCCTAATGGTAGGCCTACCACTTTAAAATTAGCGTAATTGCCCTGTATAGGCCTATAAAATATTTGCACCAGCAACACGTTTGGATGAGAGAATGGTAGTTCTAAAGTGAGCATCAATTGTGTCTCAGTCATGAAATGTGCATCACATCAACTGAAGGGTTGGTTGGTGGTAGTGAACTATGCGTCACGAATGTAGAAAAGAACGAGGGGCCTGAATATGTTTTACATCTATAATTGAGAGAATTGCAGTCCCGATCGGTCAGAAATGTGCATCACATCAGAATGAATGATCTGTGTTGGCGATTGATGGATCTACGTTTTGCGTCGCATTTGAATTACAGAACAGTCATGAATATGATCACATCTTATGAGGGAATCAGAGAATTGTAGTCCTGAAACGTGCGTCAGCGTTTACGTATAAAGGAGAATGACAGTCTTGAACTGTGCGTCACATCTGAATAAGAGAATATACAGACAAGCCTGAAAATGGGCTTCACATTTTTTTTCGCCTTAACCCCTCATCGTCACATCTGATGAGAAGTCATGAAATGTTCATCACATCTAAAGTAGAGAATTTCAGTCACATCTAATTAAGAATAAGAAAATATCCCCCATGAGAGAATGACAGTCTTCACATGTGCATCAATGCTGAATAAGAGACAGTCTTGAAATATGCATCACATATTATTAACAGAACGACAGTCTTGAAATCTTACATCACATCTCTTGTTGAGAGAATGACAGTCTTGAAATCTTGCATCACAACTCTTAGTACGAATGAGTTGGCAATTTTTCCAAGACTCTCTTACCTGCATGCATACGCCGGGATTGAACCCTAGACTTTCAGGTTAGCGAGCAAGCGTCTAACTCATTGAGCAACCGTGGCTCCCAAATCTGATCTAAAGAGAACGACAGTCGTGAAATGTACATCTCTGAATGATAGATTCTCCAAAGTGTACATCGCATCTCTGGATGAGAGAATGGCAGTATTGAAATGGTCATCACATGTAAGAATGGCAGCCTTCCAATGCGCATCAAATCTTTTAATGAATGAGAGAACTTGAAATGTCTTGAAATGTGCATCACATCTGAATTGGAGAATAATGGTCCTGAAAATGTGTATCATCTGAATTTAGAGAAGTAGTTTGACGTGAAATGTATGTAATCACGTCTGAATGAGAAAATGACTGGATTGACATTTGCAATACACCACCAAACGAGAATTACAGTCTCGGAGAATACAGTACAGTCTCTTTAAGCAGGTATGCAATGCGCCCTACAGCACATGACAGTCCAGAAAAATGACAGTGGCAGTCTAAAATACCAGTATACAATTATTTGCTCTATTTTAAAGGAAAAAAGAGTAATTTATATTTAATCACTTACCGAAATCTATGAAATTTTTCATCGACAATGGCATGGGGTTATATTGTGAATAATGATCAAGCATCATCCCCATCCTCTGCAGACACACTCTCGATATCCTCATTTTGTATGGTCACTGATAATGACACTTAACGGTACACTGTATAACTAATACACCATAATGATTTAACGTTCTATGATCACAAGCTATATGATGATGAAATAATTTTTACTCCGTTTCTGCTTCAGTAGTTTGTTTTGAGTTTGACGAACCAATAGTATTTCGTCAAATACAAACCGCTATATACTGAATACAATGAATTTAAGTGACGTATTGACCGTATTTCTGCCTGTATCAGCTGGTGACCTTTTGACCCAACATAAATAAGCTATTTATAGAACATCACATGTTTAAAAAGCAATGAGAAGAAACCAGTCTGTTTATTTTTTGAACGACTTATTTCCTGGATATTTCCAATCCGAACTGACTTTTACATCCAATCAACTGTAAGATATTAAATATCATAAATTTTATGGAAAATGCACTTACCCTATATATATATGCATCGACCAGTAGTTATTGGTTTCCATTCATTGGTCAATTTAAGTCAATGGAATATTTTTTGTAATGTGTATCTCATAATAGGCTATAATAAATGGTATGGTCTTGGCTATTATTATTGCACTATAATCCAATTTTGAACAAGATTGTGTAATATTTCAATACGTGACTGGCGTAATAGTCTATGTGACAGGTCACGATATGCCTTTGAGACGTGCATATTTTAATTGACTCATTCTGGAATATTCTATTTTGAAAGGACACACCTTATATTCATAAGGGGAAATAAACCAAAAGACTTTTACATGGAGGCCGAATGTGGTCGTTTTACAACTCTCTGCTTCTGAACTTTTCACCATCCCCATAATGGTCTCCATCTATATAATGGTCGATAATATAGTAAATGGCCTAAACTGCCTTTCATTGCTTGATGTATGTATAGTAATTTAGTAGCCTCATTAAGGTTTATTAAATTGTTTTCTCCCTTGTCTAACTGCCCTAGTCATTACAAGTAGACTCAAACCTATTGAGCCCATTATGATTGCGCTCGAGCATGTTTGGGGTTTGGGCTCGAGTGCAATATCAACCTTCTCTCACTGCATACATCATGTGCTTAGGTTGGTTAGGTTGGACAAGTTGATATTTCCTAGACACATTAGGTCACTCTACGACTTGAATCTGCCTGTTCTCTGTTGGGAAATCCTCGTATAGTTAATGTTTATATCAGTAATTTGGTATTAAAACAGACCTTTCTATTTTCTATGCCATGCTGAGTTTTCTTTGATAATGGTTTTGATTCTCCGCGCGGCTACCTAGGTTAAACAAATTTATGGTTAGGCCCTCTGACCCCACCATGAATATTGCCCTCTTAAAGCCGAAAAGAGGCGCCGTGGCGCTCGCATGCATTCCCCCTCCCTCCTCTCGTCTAGGAAATCCGCGATACGCCACTGTATGCCATGCTAATGTTTTTGTTTTGACATTTATAAATCTATAAATTGATCGGCTTAATTAACAATGTATTAATTTACTAATTGAAGTCTTTATAAATCGATATTAACTTTCGGTTAACAGTGGAATAGCCCAGTCGGTAGTGAGTTTAATTGTCGTCTGCTGCGATTATAGTTGCAGTAAGTTCGTATCCTTCTCATGGTAAGAATTCTGATGTCACGACCAATGCTCTTGAGAGTCGGCTCGGCTCGGCTTTCATCATACAAATACTGAACCCGAATTTAATCACTAGGCCTTCGCTGCTTTCATGTACAAAATATTTTAATCTAAACAGTTACTATACCGCATAGTGAAATGTCGTTTAATTATAGTTTTTGATAAACGAATCTTCTGGTGCCTGTTGTTTATATCTTTCAAATATCGAAATGATATTTAGACCTCTAGATAATCCAAAATCTCGTATCTATTCCCTTCATTGTAGTAAAACCAGAGTGATATTATTGTAGTCTGGTTTCTTACTGTATATACATATTTCTATCCCTTTATAATATAGTGGATTGGAGAGGAGAGGTCGGGCGGTCAAGGAAAAACCTGACCTTTACTCTAAAGAGGTTTGTAAAGACGTTTTACTATATTTTTTTTAATTCTATTAGTAACACTTTAGTTTTATGTCGGAGATATATATATATATATATATTATAATGATATCTAAGTTGTGGTAGTTACGTCATAAAACGTTCAGTTTTAGTGGAATTGTAAGAACGACAGACTTGTGAAACAAAAAGTGGAATGGTGCAACCATCAGTATCCCTGTTAAATCTAAAGAAAAACTTTCTACAGCCTCTCAAAATGTAAATGTACAGGTGACAGTCTATCATAACTACTTGGAGCTTCATGATGCAATTCAAATGAAATGGTTTTGACGTCTTAATTTTTTGCACCTATAGGTATGATAAAAACGAGCAACGCCATGTAGTGTGAAATGTAAGATATTTTTCCCGGACAATGTCAAGGGACCTTTAACGCAACAGTCTGTAGCACATGGGACAGCGTGCTATCCGAACGATTAGGCGTCTTTTTTTATGTCAGGCCCCTATTTCCCCGACTGAAAGGAGGAATGGTGAAGGTATCTCGTCCTATATATCTTTAGCAAGCAACCGTCCAACTCAAGAGTCATCGCAGCCTACGTAATAGCCAATGACTTTGCACGATATTTTCTAGTAAAAAAAGAATGGTAGGGCGGAATAATACTAATATAATTATTAAGCATTATAATTAATATAAATAAGTTCTGTAACCTTTTCAATTGGAAAAGGCAACTAAAGACATGAAAACAAACTGGCGATGAGAGTATAATTTCAGTCTTTTTTTCAAGTTATCCACGAATACTGAACAATCACTATATTATAGATATGCTTGAACTAATCTAAAACTGCACCTGGTAGTAATCTACGAGGATGTTGAGCTTTGTACACTCGACTTATAATTCTAATATTGGACAAGTAAGGGTTGAGAACAGGTGCATTTAAAGGACCACCTATTATTACCCCTCTGTTTAGAGTTCGAGGAATTTCTCTTCTTAAATGGCGACGATAATGATAGCTGGGTCGCCTGTACGATTGAAGGAATCTTCTGCCGCCATATCTTCTCCGACTGTTGATAACCTGACTTGATGTACGGTATTTTTCTAAAACTCCGAAATTATTCAGATCATTTTGATGCTTCATTACATAGGTAAAGGGCTTGAAGTACCTTGGTTTTCTTGATTTCAGTCGTCTGACAAAATGTTCAATTTTAACAGGTCTCTTAGTTCCACCATAATATCGTCGATCAGCTTGAAAATGCAAGGGGAATAGGGTATGTTCTCTGTTTCGCACAACGTTGGTTCTCATTGCCTTAAATTTTGGCTGGTTAAACCTCTTATGTGGCATGGAATGTACCAAGTCTAACATACAGACAATACAGAATACAGCAATGGTGAGAACTAAATTATTATTCATCATGCTGAAAGAAAAACATTTTTTAAAGCATTTTGATCGGCCATCTTAATTTCAGGATATACCCACCTTTCAAGACCACATGTTTATTTGTGTGATTGGTGTACTTGATCTATCTTTCATACTTTATACTGTTACTGTAGATGGCATTTTAAAAATATTTCAGATTTTCCAAATGAATATATGTGTCCTTAATAATGAACGAGCAGCAAAGAAGCAGGTTGACTCTCTGAAGCTCTGAACTTAGTGAATTGGTGACATCTACAAATATCCGATATATCGGAATTGAGAAAGTCTGGAATTTGGTCTGCGAAAAATTCAACAAATGTTTATGTATTTATAATGATCAACATGTCTTTACATGAAAATGCCTATCACAAAAGATAAATGAAAACAAAAAGTGTAAGTAGAGAATACGTACTGATAGCTGAGACACCACTCTTATAGAAATGAATTAAAAAAAGAATAGAAATCATAATGTTAGTAACTATGTAACTTTATGGACATGTTTAAACATAAATTACATTTATCAGTACTGGTATATATAATGTCCATTATCATAATTTCCATGTTAATATGAATGACTGTAATTTGGCATGTTTTCATGTTGGAGTTAAGATCTCTTGAAGGTAACCTATATAGATATACTCGATAAAAGATATTTTAATAAATAAATAATTTCTAATACAAATAAACATTATTTAATACAGTGTCAGTAATGAGAACAACGTATATCTGGCTTGAAAGGTTTCAATTACTCTTTAATTTACCTTTATTATGGAGTGGACTGTCGACCACGATTTTCATTTTAAAATACTTGTATCTTTGCTCGACTATACATATGTATGGAAATAGCTAAATAGAGTTTTACCAGTGTCAGTTCATGTAACAATTCTAAAGATAATCCGACCCACAAGTATCAACTAGGTACCGCACTTGCTTAATATATACATATTTATCCTTCTCATTATTATTAGCCCAACGCTAAGGAACCTGAATAGATCAATCAAAGGGACGTAACTATGGAAAGTTCTTTGCATTTCTATGACTATTATGTTGGAAAGCGTTATACGTATTCTTTAAACAAATGGAAGGTATCTAACACACAAGACACTTGAAAGAAGATTATCTTCTATTCCCATTAAATGCATTATTCACATGTAACAAATAAAAGAAAGTGAAATTCTTTATTTAATCCAACTTGTCGTCAATAATATTGCTTAGTATGTTATGATTGCTTTATTACTTCTGTATAAATTATGCAGCCCAAAGGTTAGTGGCTAACATCATGTTAAGGCAATGATATGGATAGAGAATCTGCTTATTATTAAAGTCCAAATACATTTATAACATGCCATAGCAATCCAATATTGGTGAGTCAGGTATAGGAGCAGAAAAAGCACAAGATTTACTGTAAGAAACACATCCTTGCACATAAAATGTCAGTTCGGTAGTGTATTGAAACAGCCCCAGAACACGTAAAAAATATGAATAATATAATATGAAAGTTATTATGATTGATTATGGCAAATTAGCACCAGGTATAGCAGCCTCTAGAATTATAGGTGGTTTGTAATCATTCACATTAGTTGGTTTACCTACGACCCAGGTAACAATAGGTTCATTACTACCCGGTTTGTAAACTCGACTGATGATTTTAGGCTGAGAAATGTAATCTTCACCTTTAGATCCTAATGGCCCACCGATAATAACTCCGCGTTTAGAATGACTGCGTACTTCGTCATTTTGCAAACTTGTATACTTTAACGAATTGCCCTCATATGTTTTAGGCTTTTCATACTTTTCACGATATCCCTTAGATCTGCTGGATAAACTTTTATATTGTGTTGGAATACCATGGAGATCTAAAGGTTGTACAATTTGGTTGTTTGCGGATAAATAGTCCGTTATTTTAGTACTTGTACGTTGTCTGTTATTTCTTGAAGATGTACGGAATCGGCGTCTGTTAACTTTATAATCATTTGGAAGTAATCTTTTGGTGCTCCTTGAGGCAGATGACTTTGGCTGATCTCGAAGGACATGGTGGCTGTGTTTGTCGTGGATTTCGCTGAATCTTGGTGATTTTGATCTGGATATAATTCTTGTTTTTATTCCTTTAAACTGGGGTTTCATCCTAATCCGGGGAGCTTCAATGGTGTCATCGTGCAAGGAATTAGTCTGTATTATAGGTACCAGAGCCAAAACCAAAAAAAGTGCAATAATGCTTAGATCCATTTCTACAAGAGAACAACACAAAGGTATTATAAAACCAGTCTTGTTAATTTAGCGATTTTCTTCGATAGGACGCCAACGAATACAGCCCTCGACAGAAAGAATGTGAGAAATATTGCTTGTTGTTTGTAGTATCTCCGTCCAAGGCCCAAGGCTCTGATCTGCTGCATTCGCTACCGTACAATCCAATCATATCGCTGCATTAACAAACTTTCGTAATCGAGAAAGATGCCTTATGATGTCATGGTATTAATAGTTCGTAATAACTTGACATTATGAAGATACTCAATCCCATACACCAAGCTGAGTTATCTTCAATGTAACATGTCTCAAATAAGATGAGCTGTAGTATTCTAGTTATTTGAGCACCGAATAAAACCTAAAACGTTGTTCCGGCGTCGGTAAAGCACTAAACACAAAGTTGCAGTTACATTGGTTTAAATACTACGAAGTAAACTGTTGGTCGAAAAGATTTGACAATAACATAGTCATGTCGACCTCAAACCTTTTTTTTTTATTGAGATTTCAATTTTGAAGATACATACTTCAGTTTACCTTAAGACAAGAAATGTCCTCATATTTCTTGCTCGATCATAGCGAATCAATTGAGGCAAATGCTGTCGATTAAAGAATATTGCTGCTAATGAAAGAGGAAATCAACACTTGGGAAATTGAAACCTTTTTCTAAAGTTGTATAGTTTTATAGGTAGTCAGTAGTGACTGTCGTGTTCTGGAAGTAATTTTAAATATGAACGCTTTGTCTGTCTGCTTAGACTTAAAAAGCCATATGGTTCACCATATTTTCAGATACCAATCGTACCTTGGTCCCAGAAACGGGACTTAATCAACTAAGCTTATGTACAAAACTTAACAACAAATATTTTAACCTTCTTAGTCATAGGCCTATCCATAATTTTATCCAGGTTTGAAAATTACATTGACTCCACCATATTGAAGAACGGTTAGGACAGGATAATCAAAAATTGTCCGTATACCCTAAAGTTCCTATTACAAACCTTAGGAACAAGACGAACAATTTTCATATACCCTTATTTTCAGGCAAAGGATAAACTAGTGGGAAAAAAAAGAAAGTCAAAGTTGTTTTTTAACTATGTTATTTTCAAACAACATGTGTGGTACCTCTACAGACTATCTACATGTAAAAATTCAACGCTACTATCAACCTCCATGTTGAACCATGACCTTTAATATCATCTGTAATTTTTTGCTCTCTAACTCAACAAAGATACCAAGTTATCAAATTGACATTTCGTCCTTAAAATATACAGATGTTTAAAGTTTTTTATTATTTAATCATATTATTTTTTGAAATCCGGTATTGCTGGGGCTCATGTAATAAAATAAAAACTGATAGTTGTAACTTAAGTAAATCTAACTGTTAATATTAATTTTATGGCGGTCTTCACAAGCCATTTTAGTAGAGTTTGGGTTGACATTATGGTTTGTTTTAATATGTTGGACAGGTTTTTTACTGCATAATACTAGTATCGGCCATGTCATGGACAACATGGTATGGAGGTCAATAGAAACACAAGGGCATTGAAGAGGTCATTCTTTTTTTTTTTATTAAAATACATAGATAGCAGATATTTTGGCAGAAATGACAACGTTTTGCTATTCTTTATGCTATTTTATCGAAGATTGGTAAAATAACTTTAATTTTCCTGTCTTTTGAGACTAAACCTCGTCCATTTGTCTGTATAGATATATCATTATTTATAGTGAAGCGCTATAACGATAAGCCAAGTCATTGTGCCCTTTGATATTTGGATATCATTTGGTGAATACATATATAACGGTTAAAAGAACACTTGATATGGACATATTGCATTTGATAATACTTCAATACTAAAATTTCTTCAAAATATAAAGGTTCAAGTTCTAGTGTATCATACCTTAGTGTTGGTGACAATCTTCACTTTCTCCTATTTCCAAACAATTTAAACAGACAACTCTACATACTTTCTATTCTTAAAAAATATCCCAATTATGACACATATATCAAATAGCTTTACCATGCCCAGACGATTATATAGTCCGAAATACTTTCTTTTGAAATATTATGGTCCTCAATGTTTATCATTATGAGTATTTTTTACGCTGATTTTTCTAAGACAAACTATGCAAAGTGTTCCAGAAATTGGTTCACTGAAGCAAAGCATAGAGTCAACGTTAGTTGCACTCGTATGGTAAACAAGAGTTGTTATTATTATGGAAATCAGACACAAAGAAATCGATTTTGAAGAATCTAGAATAGTAGTTCTTAAAACATACGAAATATTATACTTACAAAGCACCCTGTTACACGGTTATGTCAAACTGGAAAAGTCTAGTCACCAAATTGTAAATACGCTCTTAAAAATATGTTCTATAAAACAGATGAAAAGTCTTGTATTTTGTACGAAGTTGGTAAACAGTCCTATTTTGTTTTTAAAGTTTGATCATTTATACTGGGATGATACGGTCTATCAAATTCAGTTCTTTCAATAGTCATCATTCTACCAAATTCACGCTCGAATGGTCGTCAATGCAGAACAGTCACTTTATCGGACTACTATCAAAGGTGGTGTCGTCCCACACTGGGTTTCTATACATAAATATAAAAAATTAAGTGTATATTTACACATTCCTATTTTAAAGTGGCTTATCGTGTTAGTCACAAAAATAAATAACTTAAAGTCTATCGGGTATGCTGATATATTTCATATAATTTGATATGAAGGTTATTTTCACTTCGTTTCAAAAAGAAATTTATGTCTTGTTACGGAAATAATCTAAAAAAGATTTGCTACGATTTAGCGGGTACCTAACTTCACTTTTCAAGACATCAAGTCCAAATTGAAAGATGCGGGTTCGGGTCTTTGAACATATAAAGTGCAATACACGTTATCGCAATGAAAAATCTATGGCGACAACGACTACTCATGAGATACTTCTATTTCTTATAATCCTAGACCAAGACTGGGTTAACAGACTACAGGACTGTCTGTATCGCCTACACAATCTGTTAATTTATTCAAATTGACAAGTAAAAGTTCCCACAAATATTACCATTGAATCTTGTGTAAATACTAGGCGTATAAAATATCTTTACAGGATGCAAACTATTTTTTTTGTCGAACTGTATGTCAAATACATACTCTAAATATGCGATTATTGCAATACAAGTACACACTAAATATTTTTTGAAATTGTCCCTCCAGGTTCCTGTAAACGTATTATTGTTGTTTTCTTACGAAAATAGTTCCCTTTGATCTATGAAAAGAAATCGCATTGAATTGACTCGAGAAAATATTAATTTAACATGACCCCAGCATCGACATGGTACAACTAAAGGTACGAATAGACGAGGGAAGGTGTCATGAGAGGTGCACGGTGTGGAATGATTGATACAGTAGACATAGAAGAAGCGAATAAACGAGGCCCGGATACCATTATTTGTGTCTTCCACTGCATCGATAATCACAGACCGTACATGGCACCGAATATCGCACCTGGTATATTATCTCCTTGAAGCTTACCTGGAATTTGCCAAACTTGTCTCGAATCGTTTTATTCCACAAGAATATATTAGTAGTACCATCAACAAGAATTTCTAGTCAGCTAAATAATGTTATAGACCTGACAGTTAAGCAGACTGGACATAAATAGTATTTGAATGATCTAAGCACTTCCGGAAAAGGTCAACATGTATTAAACGGAAGAGTTGACAATTAAGTTAAAAGAGAATCATAAGATGCGTCTTAAATTACGGAAGATGTTTAAGCTTTGATATTGTTATATTTGGGGCGTGTCATATATGTCAATTGAGCAACAAGAATTATCGTCAGATCTGTCCTTTTCAGCAGCATTCGGTCACAGAAAAAAGTCTTATTGTTGGATGTGCTGTGTAGGGCATCATCGTCAAGTTCCATCAAGACATGTAGTTCTACCGAGAATTGTTATCAGATAATTAAGCATACAAAAACTGACCATCGTTTTGTAACAAAAGCAAAGTTGGTGTACAATAGAGTATATTTCTCAGATAAGATTTGATCGTCTAAAGTGATCGTGTACAAAGTTCCGTTGACAAATCATTTTTATTCCGTTGTCTAATGTGATCGTGGTTGTAATCAGTAATGTGATCTTCGTTGTATAGAGTAATGTTGTCTAATATGATCGTGGTTGTAAAGAGTAATATGATCTTCGTTGTATGAGTACAAAGGAGATTAATCTGGGTTGTATTGTTATATTAATGAGAGTACCGTAGTGTTATGTGATCGTGGTTATACATAGTAATGGTGTCTGATTGACGTAATTGTACAGCGTATCATTATCAAGTGGATGTGTGGCACAGTTTATGTACTTTTATAGAAAGTTGCCTCCCTTGATATATACTGAAAAATGTGATTGTGCTGTATGTACGAGGTTCACTACCAGATGTGATTGTGCTGTATGTACGAGGTTCACTACCAGATGTGATTGTGACTGTGTGATTGAGGTTTGCTGTCAGATGTGAATGTGGCTGTGTAATTGAATTAAACTTTCAGATGTGATAGTGACTGTGAAACTGAAGTTTACTGTTCGATGTGATTGCGGTTTTTTGACAATGCATACTTGCCAGAGGTCTATTTTTCTATGGGCTTTATTTTACTCGGTTCATCTTTGGGAAGGGGTGATAATAAGAAATAACATCTATTTATGAATTTTTAAAAAATAAATTAAGAAAGAATATACGTACAAAATGTTTTATGATTATACAAAATTTTTAAATATGTTTCAGTCTATTGAATGAAGGTGAATTATATATTTACAAGTCTCCATTATAAAATGAAACACAATATATTTTTATCACACGTATAACACACACCTCAAATGTTGTCTGAACTCTTCAAATGTTATGATACCAGTGTTCATTCAGTTTAATTCCTAGTTTGAGGTATTTTGAAGGAATAATACGATTTAAGAAATTCAGATTCGAGTGGATCTGATCCCTTAAGATTTCCATTTAGTTTAACCACGTGATGAAAATTTCCACCTGATAGACAATATCACACACACTAAACTAGAAAATATTGATCCGAAAATACCGGAAGCAGTGCTAACTGGAAGAGGAATTTGTTCAGTGAACATATTCTCAACTTTGGACCAAGTTCCATTATGAGGTTGGGGTAAAATACCCAATATCCTGACCATCATTTGATAGACGTCTACATTTTCAAAACCATCAACACGTTCGTTGGCTCTGTAGGCTGAAAGACAAATAAGACTGGTTAAGCTGGTGATATAACAGTCCCAAAGGCTGAACATTGGCAATAGTTTGACCATATCATATTATTTACATTGGCAACAATGGAAATATAAAATTTGGAGCATGAAATGCCAACGCTATGCTTTTGGTTTTCTTTATCTGGCAGGCTTTGTCACACAAAAATTATCCACGGAAATTCTTTTATTCAATATTCAGGATATTATATCATAAGCTCTGATTAAAATGCCAAGCTACTCATGAAGTTTCTGATTCAAAACTACAACGCGAGGAAACAAAAATAAAACATTTTCTCACATGGACCAAATCCCATAAATATTCCTCTCATATCAGCATCATTATTGTCATAACCATGAGCACCAAGTTTTGGTCTGAAATCAATCTTTCTTACTGGATACGAGGGGTATTCAGGCTGAAAACCAAAATAATTGTATTACGCCAAGGGCAGACGAGGTATGGTGTCCGATGCGATGTCCGGTGCGGGAAAATCAATACAGAAGAATATAGAAGAAGTAAATACACGATGTAACAGGCCCTGACCGCTCCGCAGATGCACACCACACCGGCCAAGAAATAAATTTTTATTGTGTCTTTATTTTTTTTAGACCTTATTGTGATTACCCAAATAATGTTCAGACAATCTGGTTTGCAGGTTCGTTTGTAATTGAATGAAAATCTATTAGTATCTATGATTCTGGATTTTTTCTGAGCTTTCTTATATCTTAAGCCTTGGGATATATGTGATAGATGTGATTCTACTTACAGTTATTATATAGTATGGTCGATCTGCCATCATAGTTATTGGTGCTACCAGTCTGTTGTTTTTATAGTTGAATCTTTCTGGTAGATTTTCCTTCAGGTAGACGTGCATTTTAGGATGAAAGTTTCTTAATTTAAAATACAGCTGCAATATATGTTTAAAATCTGTAAAGACGTGACCAGGACAGTAGATAAGAAAATATGAATTTATTTCCAGATAAAAGACCAAATTTATCATGTAAAGGTTCTCAAACAAAATATCATTATCATGGTTGACAAAATTAGGCTAATGTCTCCATGTGCGGTACAAGTTCTGATCAACAAAAGGTACTCCAAAGAAAAAGTTCAGAAGAACAAATTACTATAATATAAGGATTCAGCAATGTGTATGTAGAAGAAGAATCTACAACATTAAAGAAGGCGAATGTGTCTATTGACAAAAGTAAACTCTATAAAGATTGGAACCAATAATTACCTGGACAAATGATAGAGTAGCCAATATTTCTGTAAACCTCCAAACTTACTAAAACCTTCACTTACCTCTCGTTCTCTTCCAGCTTTAGGCCATAAACTACTTATTGGTCCATGGTCCATCATTGCTATATAATCATACCGACTGATAACTTTCCGTACATCTATTAAAATTCTGTTGGTCATTTTGGTCATACCGTGATCAGAGAATATTATTACATTAACTTTGTCTTTCAGTCCCATTCTCTTTAAGTCATCAGTCAGTCTTACCATTTCACCATCAAAATCTTTAATAGCTTGATTTACATGTAAACTTAATGGTCCGTAATTATGTCCCAAGATATCAAATTTTTCAAAATAAATACCTGAAATGAAAAAGATATATTTCTATATATTTTATATTTATTTTTCCTTGCAGCAAAAGAACTCGTAAACCGGTAGCGTTCCTAAAACCTTATCTACTCGAACAGGTTGACATTATGTCAATGAGTGATGTACATTATGTATATATGTATACATAATTCAGATCTTATGTGAATTAACTATATCTGAAAGAGAATGAGATGTATTTCGGCGTTGTGTCAAAAGGAAAATAAAACTGGAACCTAGTCTAGTTTTGAAGATTTTGATATTTGTTGTACTAGGTGCAGTGATTGCCGAACCAAATGAACAAAATGCAATTACGAATCCTCAATTGAAAAAGAGACGGGAAATTATAACCTACACGTCATTATTTGAACTTATAAAATAGTAGCATGAGGTAGTCTCCTTAACAATCTACATATCAAATATTAAATGATCTGTTGGCATCTACAGTGATTCTAAGTGGAAACATTTGTTGATAGCTTGAAGCAATAGCAAGCATTTCAATTTTCTTCAAACTAATAAAGACGTATAATGGTAAGAGTAATGCCGATAGCAAAATGAATATATTCATGGAAAATATGAAAACTCTTGAACTATTTGGTACTTGTAAACACAGAAAAGGTCAATAAAATTGATATTTCTTATGTTGTTTAATCTCCTTTCGATCGTTTCCTCTTCAAAAGTGCTGTGAAGATTATGGGAATAGGTTCAAAGGATATTAATACGGAGTGAATTTATTTAAAATACGTTGGTTCTAAACTACCCTATAAAATTTCGCAATTTTACCATGGTTTGCAATATCGAAAAATAAATAACACTGTTCTCGTAATATCTTGTTAATCTACTTTTCGATAGGTTTCATAAAGTTTATAAGTCTAGTTTTTAAGTTTATTAGTTTTTAAGTCTTATTCGTTTGTCTTGTGACTAAAATATTGTTTATTAGAAACGATGGTTTCAACGCCCCGTCAACATACTACCTTACCTCCCAAATCTGCTTCGTCTGATTGAAATTTTCTCAGAACATCAGATACTGCTCGTTTATAATCATCCATGCTGGGAGGTCCACTATAGGGTCGACAGTGAGTAGGATTGGTTTTTCTTATAGTGACCTCACATCCTGGCCAGAAGTACATATAACATTTTTTATCCTGCATAAAGTCAAAATGAAAAAGTAAAACAATTTATTATCCACTAATCATCATATTCGACATATTCAATCGAAACTTCAATTTACATAAGTTATAGTATTTATGATATGAAGCTGAATATAAAGGTGCCTTCTTAATAAATACGCCTTCTTACTACGTGACTACTTTTATGAAATCGAGACGGCAATTCAGAATGCATATTGTGAAATTTAGCCAAGGAATATAGGTCATTCCTTATGTTCTAGAAGATAAATTAAAGTAAACACTATATACTACAGAAATAATTATGTTGACTAAATAAGTAATCTGTGTAATATAACCAATTTATATGAGAGGTTCCTTTTGTTCTAGGATAAGTTATAGTATACATGCTATGGCACAGATAATATAATGATGTCATCTTACTACATACAGGGTAGCTACTTATATGAAATAATTGTTACTATTAATATCAAATTAAATTGTTGCCAAACGCATGAAAATCGTCTGTAATAATTGAAGGAGCACCGGCAGAGTTAAAAGAAATAGGCAAAACAAACACCCAAAAGATTCATTCAAATTAAGTCGGCTCAAACCTGTTTTTCTGCTGAAACCCAAATAGGTTCAGCTTCATCCCACCAATGTGCATTAAACTGATCTGGATTGGTGCCAATAATAAACGATTCATTTCGTTCAGAATCATACATATAATTACCTATCATACCATGACTTTCTACATATAAACCTACAATTACACAGATATAAACCTTAAAAGTATAATAATACAGATATTAACCTACATATATACATATAATATACAAATATAAACCTTAAAATAACGGTAATACAGATATTAACCTCATATAAACATATGATATACAGATATATACTTTTACACATATAACCCTTCAATATACACATAAACCTACATATTACAGATATAAACCCGCATTATACAGATATAAACCTATTTTATACAGATATCAACTATACAGATATAAACCTACATTATACAGATATAAACACACAATATACAATAAACCTACATATTACAGATATAAACCCACATTTTACAGATATAAACACACATTATACAGATATAAATCTACATATTACCGAAACCTACATTATATAGATATAACAATATTATGACATTGTCCTGCCATTTATAACTATAAAGTGATTATTTGGCTTGAAGCTTCGAAAGGATGAAATAGTTATACTCTGTGAACGGACAAAGCTCTATAATCCACTATAAAGCGAGGACCAAGCGATTTGCTCTTCTTCGAAACTATCAGATATGCAATTCGATAATTTCTTAGTTATTTAATTTACATATGTCCAACTTTTAGAGTACAAATTGTTATTCAATTATATTCAGAAACTATCGTAAATGGAAATCCCAGTAAAATCTCAAGGGAAAGTTTTAACAACGTTTGAAATAGGATGCGCAGTTATTTATACGTTTTTTAATAAAAAAATAATGCAAATTTATAATCTGGCATGTTATATTCATCAAATCAAAGACCAATTGATTACCAGGATTTGATCTGGTTTTCCCTATTTGTGAAAAGCATTTGTAACCCACTCGTGAGAAAGTGGAGCGCTGCTTTCAGAAGCTTTTTTAAGAGTCCTCAGAGACTCATTTACAATAGACAGGTGTTCCGGTATGTGGTTCTGATAAAAAAAAAACAAAATGGTTGTAACTTTACCAGATGTGATCAAGATACAGGAATGTAAGATAACACCAGTAATGTTCGTCATATGCAATCAATCTGGTATGAAAATTCCTTATCACATTTCCTGCTGATGTAATGAAAGGTTAAAGTCGAAAATCAGTCAATAACCTCCGTGTCGTGCTAACTAGCCATCAGGATATAAACATCCACCCTTTACATCTGGAAATAGCCCATCAGGACAAAAAATAACTCATCAAGTCCGTCGAAACTGCATAGGCTTATCATGATTAGATCATACAAGGCATAGTCCTATTTTTGAAATAGTTTTTATAGCTATCGACAATAGTGGACTGTGACAAGAACATGAAAAGTGTGATTGATGTCAAAAAATTAAATTCGTAAATCTATCTTTTCTAATCATTGATAAATTTTAAACAAACACAGATAAAGGCTGGTAAATACAGCTCGAGAGTATCTGGAATCAGATAACTCAATGATAAGAAACTGTAGAAACTGTCAGATTTGCTATTTTGATTGGTATTTGATATTCTGTGGCTACCATGAATAAATAAACAATATAAAATACATATCATCTTAAAGAGGGCTAATTGTAATGACAAACATAAAACTAAAACATGATGGTATTTTCTGCTTAGCCGTATACAGATTTCGGGCAAAATAAAATACAATATATGTAAATGCTGAGAGCACATCCAAGTTAAGTTATTTTCTTCCCTTGACAGTAGAAATCTGAAATCCGTGGTAACTTAAGGCCTTAATGTAAGGCCATGGTATCTGTTTGTACACAACTTTGTCCAATGTGTATTGCTTGTATAACATTCAAAGTAATCCATGAGCAAGCTAACCTAGAATTGCCTGTCGACATACGTCACGTAGATATATCAACGATATGTAAGAATAAGGAGCTGTAAGTCAAGCTATACACATAAATTTAAAAAGGCAAATGTAATTATCATGTGAAATTTACACAAAGATTCCATCAAGATTTATTTCTATTGGTCTTCATCAATTTTCCTCACATGCTAGTGGATGATCAATGATTTTATTTTTATTAAAATTTGAATTGAAGTTATGAAGGAGGCAGTAATTCAGGCGGCAGAACGGAACCCCTAAAACAGAAAATTATTTGAAAAATTCGAATGTGTGTTAGTTGCTTTTTCTGCCTCTTATGAATGGAAGTTTATATTCATTGATATTTTTCATTGATAAAATATTATGAATGGTAGAGGTTGTATTAAGATGTCTACTTCACCTGTTTATAATTATTTCAATCAAATTCTGATTAAATTGAGCGGAGAATGAGATATTATATACCTACAATCTGTCTTTCATTTTCAACCTAATATATTTATAATTACTGGTACATCAAAGTTATACAGTAGGCCTATGATACGTTTTACAACTGTTACTAATTTAACTTATCAAAAATAAAACAGCCTGGGTTTACTGTATTTTGGTTGTCTTTTATCTATGTTTCTTGTGAGATTTTAAAGACATACTGACCATTTGAAAGATAAGTTTAGCATATTTTGCAAAGACGATTGCTTGTTAAAGGGGCATTCCGATTTTCATTTTCATTATCAAAAACGTTGTTAATTATACCTGAAAATATTTCTGAAGTATGCTATTTATATCTATGTATCTACTTGATCAATATGGAATTTGTTTTAAAAGGGTTAATTAAAAACCGAGAATACTAATTGTTAATTAAGCAGTTTGACCTAGTTTCGCTGATTAGCTTTATAATTGCTCGCTATATTTAGTTGAAATCTTTAGAAAAGGTAGACATATTTCTCTACAATTAGACGATTATTTTACTCAAATCCATACAGTAGTTTTCTGACAGATGCAAAAAATATAACTAACTTTAAAGGGTAGGCCTACGTAACCTTTTACGTAAAGTTTTAAAGTAAAAAAATTAACGGCTGGATTTTTTTTAATTAAAACTTTATAGGATATAGGATAGATTTCTTCAGATTTTGGTTTATAGTTTTCACAAATTTGAGAAAAAAAAATTTCGACCTACAAAAAGCTGAATGTACCTTTAAAAAAAAAGGAGCATTAAGCTGTCCTTCTGGTCACAAAGTGTATATACCTGACACATTGTTTAACAAATGACCCAAACACACAAGCGAATCTTTTAGAATGTACAAAAAGTTTTGATAAGTTTCCTGTGTTTATGTATACAGAAAGAAATAACTCAGTAGCCTAATTGGCACAGTGAACTCGACAACAAGCTTCACCAAACCGCACGATCAGTTGATACGAAAACATCATTAACTTCGTCATTCCAAGTTTATTTTTTTAAATTCTAATGTATATAAAATAAAGTAGTCATTTGTTTAGTCTATAGAACAGAAACCTCTTATATAATATAAATATATAAACACAGCCACGTGTTCTCTAGTTCCGGTCTACTATTAAATATCATTCCTGTATTAATGGTCTTCTTTTTTAAAACTATACAATAAATTCTTACAGTATTTTCTTTGATTTAGGTCAGCGCTTATAAATAACAGCATATCATATTATATTCAAAGGCATCGACATCGTGCGCATCCTAATTGGAATATAAATTATATTGTATATTTATATTCATGTATTCGAATATAACCAATTAAAATACATGTACCTGAGGGTTAAGGGGGAATAGAATCAGCATTTATATAATAATAGAAAGACAATTTGTTGAAAAGACTTCTAAACAGTGTCTGTTTGAGGAGTATTTATGCAAAACCCACACAATAAATTCTCATTAAATAACGGAACACAATTTTATGGTATACTACTCCTTAGTTTTTAGTGTTCCGTTATTTAATGTGATCTCTACCCCTAAATGTCGCTAAAGGATTAATAAATTCTCAATATTTGACTGTGAGCATAAGCATTTCAAAAGAAGCAGTCATTATCATCTTACCTGTAGCTAGTGAATAATAGTTAGGATAAGATGATGAGGGATAAACCGGCTTAAGATAATCCGCCTTAACTCCCATCTCTCTAATCCTTTGAAATCCAGGTAGATGTAAATCTGGTTGATTAAGATAATCCCATCTAAATCCATCCAATAATATCATTAATAACTTTTGATTTTCCAAACTCGTCACAGTTTTTAGGCATATTTTGATAAATATTAATAATTTTGAAAGGAATACAACCGATCTGCAATTACCCATATTATAACTAGTTCTACTGCACTGTACAGTTATACACAAAATAGCGTATTTCCGGTGTATGTTAAAATGAAATATTCACAAAAACTATATTATTTATATTTGGTTATATATAATATAAATTGTTGCATAATCTGGAATATATTAGGCCTGCTCTTAAAAGTTTAAAAATGTTAAATGTTTTTGCACTTTATTATTAATAACATAGTTTAAATTATTGTTATTGTTTACATAATAACTTTCAATTGTTATTCAAAATAGATACACATTTCACTCAGGTTATTCAAACATCATATACATCCACAATGTAACAATTTAATACAAGTTTTCCCTCACTCACAGAAATCCAGTGGCACGAATTGAAATAGTCCCAATTCTTCACGAACCAACAATTCTACTAGATAGAAACGATAAACGTTTTTATGTCTTTATTTAAGATGTGGAATAAGTGGTTCCATACCTCACGTGTAGCCTGATAGTTCCTTCTTTTGATTACCATGTGCTTTTCTTTAATACTTCCTGTCAATCAAATTAGTTTCTACGGCCAGAGATAAATATAAGGTTCGAGGCAATATAAAGCTGATGCCAATCTTATCAAATAAAATGTGCTATTATAGTCAAGTTTGATGGAAACTGTCTTTGCAGTGGTATTTTTAATCAGATTTACAAATTGTTGATTAATGACAGCGAAAAGACACAGTTTGACAGCTGTGTTATTTTTTGCGTGCTTTTATTGTACGAGATCGTTACCAAGCTCGATTGTTTGAAAACAGAATTTTATATGATTTGTTCACAAAATGTTGTATGACGTTGTGGATTTTGGAATCAATTTCTAACAAAAGTAATGTTAAGCCTCAAGATGAGAGAACTTGCTCTCAAAAAGAAATAAGGTCGATCGAGTAAAGGTAATCTTCTGGTAAAAGATTTAGGTGGAGATAACACCCGTATCAAAAATATCAATTACAAGATTCTTGTCGATTAAATAGTTACTCATGGATTTATGAATTTCTATATAACCCCGTTTCAGTTCCTTCTGCTAAGAATCAACTTATTAGCTGTTAACCTAAAACTGAAAGTACCAATATTTTGATTATAACAGATCTAATTGACATATGTGGATTTTAAACTATTGTTACTCTCAAGGGCCACACGTTTTCAATCAATCAAAATATTTCCTATTCCCCTCGAGAACCGTTGATAAAGACCAATTCAAGGAGGCTAGATAGATCCTTGCATGGAATAACCGTTTGTGAATATTATTTCGAGTACTGTGGAATTTTGATATACAGGTTTTATAAAATACCTGAAGAGTTTTTATATTAAAGATGGTAACAGGTTTATCGTGTACTTGAAATCACGCGTTCTTATCTTGATATATTTTACACACTGATTTCTTTATAAAAACTATATACCAATATTCATAAAGTTCTGGAGAAGCAGTAGAAATAATGCAGAATTTTGAAACTTTTTAAAACCTGACAAAAGCAATTGATGTTAATATGTGTGGAATATTTAAAATCTTGTTTTGGATTTGCTCTTGCATTAGAACGAAATGAATTGTGAATTCTTCCACTCGAACATGTAGATACCATTTCCACTTTCGCATGATTGACAGGTGCTACAAATTTGAGAGTATTTTCAATTTGTGTATGTGTAGTAATAACTCATTTTAGCCTGATTGTAACAGATCGTCGCTCCTGGGCCTTGAGTTATTCATCTGGAAGATACTGTGTTGTAGTTTGTTATGAGAGAAATCTTGCAGCATCCTAAACTATCGATCAATGAAAACTGACTTTTTGCAATGACTTGACAGTTAGACACGTTATTCAATGAGAATGGTGCCAATTTAAATGGTGTAAGAACGATAAATATCAGCCAGTTTCCGAATATCTGATAAGTTATAACCTTTTAGATGAAGCCTGACCAAAACTTGAATTTCAGACACAGTGGATAATTTGGGAATATCGTCGAGGAATAAAAACAAATCTACTCTATGTTACATCATAAATATTTGCATTGTAGTTCTTGCTACATTAAGATTCAATAACATGGCAAACATTGAAATAGTCATCATAAGAATAATATTCATCTTAACCAAGTAAGTTAGCTATCTGCAATGGTAGAAAATATACACAGTTTCAGATCAGAACTCAGGTTCGTAGAGATTATCTTCAGGGTAACAGAGTATCAAAAAAAGCACAGATGAATTTAATGTTCGTTTATCTTGATAGATGATTCACAAATTCACGATACCAGCCGATTCAAGTACAATTCTATCTTTTGGCACAGCTATCTTACGATTACAAGTAGTTTACAGGTGATCTAAAGGTTATAAACTATGATTACTGTTATCATGTTGAAATGTTCTCATTTAAACTGAACAATTCTTGTTTTTACCTAGAACAGAAGAGATATAAGATACATTATTCTATATTTGTAAATACAATGTTTACATTTATATTGTGATGATTTGCAGGTGTACCATACAACTCTAATTATAATAGGTCTAGTGAGATTGTAGTCTTTCCCCTCCAATTCGATTTAAGTTTTTATCTAAACCAGGCACCACGCCATATTTATCTGCATATTTCAAAGTTAGATCTTAATTGCATTTTTTAAATCTTAAATTTATCTGATTTAAACTTTCTGTTTTTTTTTTTCAAGGAAAAATAGGATTATGATCTAGATATGTCATATAAACCAGGTGTTATCAGCATATATATATAGGGGAAACTTGTGTGACCAAATACTTTAAATATAGGTCATTTGTTACTTCAATAGAAGATCGTCCAAAATCTTCCATCCTCGTCGGTTGGTCACAGTCTTGCGTAGGTGGACCTGAATAGCCCAGACTGTGACTTAAGTTCTCTAAGTTTTCCTGAACTTTGGAGATGACCCCCAATGACCTGCGTCTAATGTTTCTTACATCGGCTGATAATCTTCAACTATCAAGTTCGGTAATAATCGACAAGTATTTGAAAAGAGATTGGACCCGGGTGGTTAGGGCTAATTAGTCTTAAAAACAGTTTAAATATACTCTCTACACGTGGAGGAAAATTCTTACTTGACAAATTATTGATAGATTACTAACAGTTTCTTTAAATCATTATTACATTCATTATAAAACGTCAGTCAAAAGAAAATTTATGAGACCTTTTGGAAACTTTGTCGAACTGTATAGCACTGGTTTGTCAGGGAGAAAATCTTGATTTAGATTGATCACCACAAAAAAATCTATAATGAATTTTTTGGCTTAAAACAATTATATAGAATGATTCGTATCAACGTTTCTTATCTGCTATTTTTGTTCTTACATAGCGTTTATTTAATGAAAATTACAATTGCGATTAAGGTTCTACTTTCTGTATCTTATTGGTCTTTTGGGAAGCTTTGGAGAAGAGGTGGGGGACGGGGCTGGTCGTAGAAACGCCACTGCTGTCGATGGATTTAGTCTGTGACACAGGTCGAATTTGTTCCGCATCGAACGCTGACAACAATTTATAATATAATTGATATTAATGATACCATTTCTAGGCTGAAAAAAATACTATCAGAAAATAAATTCGTACTTACCTCGTTTTGTTTTTCACAGGTTGGTTAGAAACTCCAACGGCCTTGTCTGGGTAAATGACCACTATACTCTGCTGAGCTCTGGTCAAGATCTGAGGTAACTTTAAAACTTATAACTGAACTTTTTTAACTTGACATGAACTCTGTTTGCATTTTAATGTTAATTCCAGGTCAGAAGGTCAATGTTAGTTTGCTGGGGAGATTAAGATGTAATTAGTTGTCACAGATGTTTTAACATATTATATTTTCATCTAAAATCTTTCAGTATATCACCCACAAAAAAACAATATGAGGTACCATTGTTCAGTGTAACATGATATTCCCAAAACTGAAGGAACTATTGCATAGGCTCCGAAGCTGTCACAATTAGTCAAAATCGCCATTCGTATTTTAATAACCAGTCGTCGTCGAGTTTTTTTTTTCAACTAGATGAAAATTCTTATGCAAGCAGTGGTCATTGAAATTGAAATTAGATTTATTCATTATAAAATACATAAACAATATAACATCATCAAAATAACAAAGCAACATACATGTAAATATATTTCAGCAATTTAGATCTATGATCTTAGACCTGGAATCCAAACCAGTAGACAAAGTTTAATAAAAGTTGCTATATTGAACAGTTATCTGAATACATTCAGGTATGTTCTGTATAATGTATGTCACAAAAAAATCAGTCACATTTTTTATAGGTAGTAAATTGCAATTTTTCAACTACTTTCAAATTTTTCAAGTAAGTCACAATCTACTGGAGTCAGTCAAAATTTTATTTGTCTACCATTGGTCTACCATTGCATATTCGATAAGTGCGATCACGGGGAAAGTGCTAAAATTGTAACCTGATATTCATTTAAAGGAATCCTACCTCATCGACTGGAACATAGGAGAATGCGGTTGCCCTGCATTACATTTCAGTCAAACATTGGATAGCTTTCCCTTACGACCTGCATCACAAGAGGTAACAGGTTTGAAATTCATCACAACCTCAACCAGGTTTCAATTTAAAAAAGCTTGAATTATATCGATTTTAGCTTTCCTTCATCTAATTGAATTATAACTAAAGTTAATTTGAAATTTATAATTACAGTATTTCCGAAAATCCAAAGTTTATCTTTAGCTAGTTTTGGTGAAGAAGGCCCCATAACTGTTGTGGCGTTTCTACAACCACCTCATACAGTGGTAGCGCCAGCTTGCCGAGACTTGGGGTCCAATTAGGTTGCAGATTGACTCAATTGAGGGATTGAATTTATCTAATGGACCCCTGTTCCACCATTGGCTCCGCCTTTGCTGTCATACAAAGTGTATCTGTTTGGGAAGCTAATCGTTTTAGACAAAACTTACTTTCAAAATGAATCTAAGTGTGAAGATTAACTTATAATATATAGTTTTCTTATGAAACTGTAAAAATACCAACAATGTAACTGTTTCTTAATTTTTGTGATCAAATTATCTAACGTCATTCAGCTGTTGTAATGCTTCAGATAATTTCACAGAGAAAAACTCACCAAACATTAGAGTTAATGAAAACCAATGTGTGTGGAATAGAGTAATTGTATTCTCTGTGGACCTAAAACAAATACACCTGTTTCTACGTTCATCTCTCTTTCTTTTTCTTTGATAGGTAAAAATTGTTTAACTCCTGCCAATTAATGATGTTTTAATATCAATTTACTTAACATAAAACATCTCAATTCCATTAGCTTGCTTGTTCATCTCATTTAAAAACTTAATTCTCGTCTCAATTGGGAGATCATCAAGACGCTTACTCGGCAGAAAATCTTAACATTTGAAAATTCTGAAGCCTTCATACGCATTTAGCAGCAATAACATAAAAGAATTGAAAGTAAGTATAACTATTCAAGCCACAATTTGCAAATATACTAAGGTTAAAGTTATGGCCAATGAAGTTGTAGGTTGTTGAAAGAATCGTTGAAATACACAACACTTAACACGCCAAAGTATGATAAGTAAGTTTTTAAAATTCTAGACTGAAATATTTAAACAGAATGGGAAGAAACGGAAAGAGACAAAACAAGTAATAACATTTTATTTACATTTTATTCTTTATAGAAGTTGAATTACTGGTGCTTCATTTTTATCACCTGGTTGGGGAGTACAATATGCTTTAGGTTCACCACCATGGTACATATGACTTTTATCACATTGACATTTAATAGATCCAAACTCAACCTCACCATCATTGACCAGAATAATTTTACTTTTCTTTTCACCATTATCATCAATAAAGCTAGCTAGACAGTTCTCTCCTGAAAAATATTTATACTAAATATTAGAGTCTTTAAAGAGACCGATGGAAACGGAATTATAGCATATCGCTTACGTTCATCAAACGAAATGAAATGCTAGCATTACCAGATCACGTCACTATCACTACTACCATACTGAATGGTAAGTATATACGATATACATACAATCAATGATTATTCTGTCTATTGACGTGAATGAGAAAAAACTGAAAGAAAACCACTCCTACAATATCAGGCCTGTTTACAGCTACGTGACCCCATATTGAGGGTTTGTGCTGTTTTGCTCTTTAAGCAACGATGATTTCGTACATAATCAAATTGTATTAAATGAATAATAATACTCACCATTTGAGCAAGTTGGGCAGCACTTGTCTGGGTCATTTTGGGGATCAACACAATTGATAACAGGTGAGCACATGATTATGATTGGGAAGACTGTATGGGTTTTTTCATCACAGTAACACCCATGGCATGGTGAAACCATGATTTGTTCTCCAGGTGGTACTTGAGTACCATCAGTACAGGTACATGGTGATGATACTGGTGATCTACCGTACACTAACTGTGGTGCTATGAACAGTAATATAAACGAAAACATTCCTATCAAACTAGGTGCAAGCAGCAGACCTATTTTAAATTCTGGCACATTGACTGCTAACCTTTATAGAAATATTAGCTCAATTTATCATGTACCTACCCATTGTATTGTTGATCTAATCTCAAAAGGTAATGAGACATAATGACACGACATTCTCGTAAACAGGAAGAAAGGTTTGAATTGTGTCAAACATAACTAATTGCTATACAGTTAATGGTAAAAGTCATTCTTCAATTTATTAGTAAGCATAAATATTTAATTTCTTGGTGGAAAGATTGCCAATGTAGCTTATATCCAAATTGATATATAATAATGGATTTACTTACAGTTACGGATGATGATGCGATCACCAGCGTCACATGGGAGATCATGCATGACGAGGCCGAAATTGGAGCATAAGATTGCAAGAATTGTGCCCGCTAGAGATTGATATTTTTTCGATAAAATATTCGGTTTATTGCATTTTAGAACTTAAAGACTTATCTAGTTACTAATTTGAGCACTGTAATATCAAGGATATTAACTACTTGTATCGAATTTTGGAAAATTAAAATGAAATTAATGAAGGTATACGCCCTACTTTACTGCACCATGTGTGCTATTGAAGACGGGCAACTTCATACAAGATAAAATGAGGGAAATTTTACCAGGACAACGCCATTAGCCTGCACTTTTTCGATTTGATGGAACTTTGGAAGAACATCATATCACTGTGTTCATTGTATATCAATGAACGTGAACCGTTGATGATGCCCTCATAATTTGCTGCTATGAAGAACAATATAATAAACCTGCTCGATGTCATGGGGGTTTGTTACAAACTATTTTCTATTAAGGTATGTGATTGATTTAAAATTCAAAATTCTTTCAAAATTATTAGAGATTATGAAAATGTTCCACAACAGTGATGCGTAACGTTCCCCTTCATTTACAATTGTCCATATTCAACATTAAAGAGAATTTTTAATATATTGTACAATAAATAAGGCGATGATATTGTAAACACCTCATATGAAAGATCATCGCTTTGAAATAATATTTACTTGGCTTGTCTTTAAACAATGCAATTTCAACTTCTATTTGTGGCAATATGTTTGAACGAAGCAATCGGCAAATTAATGTGTGGGGCCAATATTGAGCCAAAGCAAGGCAGATTACAAGTCAGTGGTTTTGGAAATTTTATTGTTCAGAATTTCTACCAATGTTTAAATCTGGGCATGAGAATAGAAATGAGTAAATCCGTTAATTATGATACGATTTCCAGGAATTGCCAGTTGAATATGGTGGCTTTGAGTAACGACAACACTATGACACCAACACCGTCTTCTCTTTATTCACCTATTTCTCGTCAACAATGTCAAAAGGTGGGTATATGTTTTATACAACCACATTGAAAAAAATGAGACCTTGTCCGTTCATCGTCCACATTTCCTTAAACAAGACAGTTTTTATCCGCTTTGAAGAAACTAAGTATAATATGCATGTATATTTTGATCAGATTTCGGCCTTATTCGAATCAGATAATAATCGAATGAACTATTGCTCTTTACTTAGTCGACACCACTCAAATTTGGCTGGTTAAATACGATAGATGTTACAGTTTTTATCCGATTCTGATGAAATTTGGTGTTCAAGTATATATTGATAAGTTCATAATAAAATTAAGTAAAATTCGAATGAATTGTACTGAAGATATTGTCGAAGACTTTTGGTGTGGGCGCACGAACGATCTTGCTCGGCGATTTTTTTTCAAAACAAAACTCCAATCGGTCATTTTCCACTATCTCAATAATCAATTGCGAGCATGAAATTGAAATGAAAATGAATCTGATAGGATGATGACGCTTTGTCTTACAGACGGTAAAACAATCGGCAACAAAATATCAATTGAATATTGTAAATCCTGTTGGCAACGCGATAATCTTGTGGAAGGGAGGGCATACGTGAGATTTTACTCAAGATTCGCGTCAGCACCATTACTAAACGCGTCAAATTTGGCAATTAGACACGATAGATGCTACGAATTTATCCGACCTTGGTGTGCATGTTATATCGATGAGAACTCATTTAAGGTTGCTGGATCAACTTTTGATATTGACTTAAAAGACGTTTTGGCTTGTCTATAACCAGTTGCTATCCAATCTTGATGAAACTTCTTGCATGTTCATGAGATGATGATCTAAGTCAAGTTCAAAATTGTCAATATCAATTTTAGTGAATTGTACACCTTTAATAATTTTATACAAAAATTTGTTTAGACATTTGCAACAGCATGTTTTTGGATTGATTGTGGTGAACGATGTATCTTGGATATCACATTTAAATCCAATTTTTGAAATTTGGAAGACTGTGAGAGCAGTTCAGTTTAAAGATAAAATATTTGAAAGTCAGTGATGAATTTTGTTTAGGGGTATTTTTCTAAAACTTTAAACAAAGAAGATATTTACAGTTTAGGGGTGAGCTGAAATCCGTATAGGCTAGAGACCTCTCTACACATATATTGTTTGGGGTGAGCTGTAATCAGTACATGTATATGGTAGAGACCTCTCTACACCTGCATTGCATGTTCATTGTGACATTAGACATCCCAGGGTTCACTTCTTCTTGTTGGAATGTCCGGAATATAACAGAGAAAAAAGAATTTTAAGGTAAGTTTTTGTTTTTTTTCGTTAATTTTAAGTGTTTAATTTTATGAGTAGGAACTCTACCTCTTATCCCATTAGTTTAATGTCTATTATTATGTAATAATATATGATAGAAATAGCAGAAGGAATTATAATGTAATAATATATGATAGAAATAGCAGAAGGAATTATAATGTAATAATATATGATAGAAATAGCAGAAGGAATTATAATGTAATAATATATGATAGAAAGAGCTGAAGGAATTAGGATGTAATAATATATGATAGAAATAGCAGAAGGAATGATAATGTAATAATATATGATAGAAATAGCAGAAGGAATTATAATGTAATAATATATGATAGAAATAGCAGAAGGAATGATAATGTAATAATATATGATAGAAATAGCAGAAGGAATTATAATGTAATAATATATGATAGAAATAGCTGAAGGAATTAGGATGTAATAATATATGATAGAAATAGCTGAAGGAATGATAATGTAATAATATGATAGAAAGAGCAGCAGGAATTATAATGTAATAATATATGATAGAAAGAGCTGAAGGAATTATAATGTAATAATATATGATAGAAATAGCTGAAGGAATTATAATGTAATAATATAGGATAGAAATGGCAGAAGGAATTATAATGTAATAATATATGATAGAAATAGCAGAAGGAATGATAATGTAATAATACATGATAGAAATAACAGAAGGCATTATAATGTAATAATATATGATAGAAATAGCTGAAAGAATGATAATGTAATAATATATGATAGAAAGAGCTGAAGGAATTATGATGTAATAATATGATAGAAATAGCTGAAGGAATGATAATGTAATATATGATAGAAATAGCAGAAGGAATGATAATGTAATAATATATGATAGAAATAGCTGAAGGAATTATGATGTAATAATATATGATAGAAATAGCTGAAGGAATGATAATGTAATATATGATAGAAATAGCAGAAGGAATGATAATGTAATAATATATGATAGAAATAGCAGAAGGAATTATAAGGTAATAATATATGATAGAAATAGCAGAAGGAATGATAATGTAATAATATATGATAGAAATAGCAGAAGGAATTATAATGTAATAATATATGATAGAAATAGCAGAAGGAATGATAATGTAATAATATATGATAGAAATAGCTGAAGGAATTATGATGTAATAATATATGATAGAAATAGCTGAAGGAATGATAATGTAATATATGATAGAAATAGCAGAAGGAATGATAATGTAATAATATATGATAGAAATAGCAGAAGGAATTATAATGTAATAATATATGATAGAAATAGCAGAAGGAATGATAATGTAATAATATATGATAGAAATAGCAGAAGGAATTATAATGTAATAATATATGATAGAAATAGCTGAAGGAATGATAATGTAATAATATATGATAGAAAGAGCTGAAGGAATTATGATGTAATAATATATGATAGAAATAGCAGAAGGAATGATAATGTAATAATATATGATAGAAATAGCAGAAGGAATTATAATGTAATAATATATGATAGAAATAGCTGAAGGAATTATGATGTAATAATATATGATAGAAATAGCAGAAGGAATTATAATGTAATAATATATGATAGAAATAGCAGAAGGAATTATAATGTAATAATATATGATAGAAATAGCTGAAGGAATGATAATGTAATAATATATGATAGAAAGAGCTGAAGGAATTATGATGTAATAATATATGATAGAAATAGCAGAAGGAATTATAATAATTTATGATATGAATATAACTGACTGAAAAATAACTGAAAAGCCTTTTGCTGCATGTATGAGTAGGTGATGTCATATGTCCCACGGTCGCAACGATTAGAACTTTACAAAATCAAATGACATATTTTTACCTTCCTTCGGGGGAATCAAACCTACACTAGTGCCAGATATTTTTCTAAATTATTCTTAGTTTTCATGTGTTCAATGGATAAAGGAAAAAACTCTTGGGCAGATCCTGCGTCTATCGGGTGGCATACTAAACTCTGGCTGTGGGACTAGCTGTGGGAATAAGATCATAAAATGATAACATTGTGTAACAGCCATTTGAATATTCATTTTGCTGTTTATTTTAAGGACTCCGAACATTTTTTTTTGGTACAAGAAGAAAAAGTGTATTGAACTATGATCTATAACATGATTCTAAATTGAACTTTTGTGGTTTCAGTTGACTGTAATTATTGAATCTGTAGTTTTGTTTTTTTAGATATGGTACGATATCTATGATATCAAGATTATAATCAAGAATTTTTCGATCCTTTGACGTTGTCAATAAGCTAAGTTTGAACAAAACAGAGAATTTCTTGTTATTTTGGCCAGATTTGTCTGTCATATTTTATATCGTAGTAAACGACTGCTCAAATAGAGCTATCTTAATGATATATAGATTATTGTTTAGAAATATCATAAATGTTACTTTACGTAGATCTATGTCCGATTATATCAAACAATTTTTTCTAATCTTATGATAATATTTCTGATATAACTGGCTATGATAGAAAAAAATATTTATGACCACTAAATTATGTAAATCTACGTTTTTTGAGTAAAAAAAATGTTTTCAGACATTATGTCCAATTTGTATAATCATATTTGGTGTTTAGATTTACTACAATCCAGAATGGATGCATTTTGATTTTTTAAGTGAATATATTTGAACAGTAAACTTCTATAGTCTGTAAAATTTAGGAATTTATTTTTTAAAATATGCTCTTCATGTTTGTGGTAATTCGAAATTAGTAACCATTTAGATCTAAATATGATTTCTTTAAACATTCATTTCCATTACAAAATTGGTTTGAAATTTCAAATTTAGAATTAATTTCATTCAAAGTTAGATCCTGTTTTCAAGTAAAAATAAATTTGCGTTTGAAAATGACAAAATATATAACTATAACCAACCATATTTCGTGACAAAATATACTATAGTATTGTATCGGTATATGAATATCCATTACCAATAATATCGTTTGATTGATACAATACTTTATGGAATAAAAATGTTGAAATTTAAAGAAGGATTCAAATTGAAGTGTAAAATAAACAAACTTCCTTATTGACACCAATATAGCTGGTATTGATGGTAAATAATTAACACGTGTTTTGTTATATATTTGTAGATAAGGAGACCAGAATAAAATTATAGAGAGTTTGAGCTGAACTCAAAACCATGGTGTAGAATTTTCAAACATGAAGGGGAAAAATCATCTTAATAGTTGTTTCAAATTGAGATGAATAAATTGTGTAGACTTAAGAATTAAAAAGATATGAAATGTGTTGTTTTTATTCAACTATAATTGAAATTTATATCAAGATATTTCCAATCTCAGTAGAGAAACTTTCTGAATTATGAGTATATTGCATACACACAATACACGAACATATTGTCATTTAGTTCCAAACATCTGTTTTCGACTTGAGTAGAGTCAGAAAAACTTCGCCCTGTTTTATGGGTTTTTTTTCACACCTTCGAAGATGCGATTTGTTTTAGCATAGTAAATTACCTTTACGATGATTGTAAATTGATGTTTGGCGACACTGTAATTTTCGTATTGTTAGTATCGCGTGACTGTGATCCTTGATGTTTTGGCTGCGCACGCAGTTACAAATGGCCCACAAGTATTGAAGGATTTTGGAGCCATTAGCTTAAATGGTGCTGAGAATCCCCACAAATCAGGGCCAAGTTTTTCTGTTATTGGAAATTTGGCATTATTTGAGGTGTTGGTGAAAAAACGAGTTGAGTTAAAAAATGGGCAGGTCAAACAAGAAGTTTGGAAACAAGGTGTGGTATTTGCAGAGAGGTCGATGGTGGCAGAGACATCTAACTTGGCTTTCATTTCACAAATCGTTAAATTCTTTATCTTTCGAAGGAACCGTTTAGAATATCCACGATTCTGCAATTCTTTAAAAACAATAGAGCATGCCTCCTCGAAGCCCTCTTCTCGTGTGCCAATTCGGTAAAAGCGTAATATCTGGGACTTAATAGCTCCCGAAAATGTATGTTTAGGGTGAAAAGAGGATTTAAACAAAAGTTGTTGAGTGTCAGTTTCCCTAAAGAAAACCTTGATATCTAATTTCCCAGAAGTAGTAAAATCACTGTCCCTAAATACTGTCGTATCAAGGAGATCAATGCGGTTTTTTGGCTGTTAGTTTTACTGAAGGGTGGTAATTATTGAGAATATTCCCAGAATTCTTCTTTGGTGTGGGTCCAAACTACAAAAATATCGTCAAGAAATCGTACATAAAAATGAGGAAGTAATGGACAAAGTGGAGACACTCCTCGTTTCCATTGTATTAGGGTACAGTGTATTATATTGATATATATATACATTCTCACAAATACATATATATTAGACAATATTGTCAATATAATTATCACAAAATAGGTTGAGGTCGTTTTCTGTCGTTTACCTGATCGGTTCCTGGTCGTTTCACGTTTTCGTTGGTCGGTTTATGTTTAGTAAGTACGCCATATTGCCGTCTTCATTGGCCATTAATGATTCAAAACAATGTTTTGATTTCCTTATTTATTTGAAATACATTACTCAGGTTATGGTAGGCTACATGAAAGGTATACTTTGCTAATTTTATATTCCAGACAAACTTGAAATCGAAAAGAAAAAATTAATAAATAAATGATTGAATTTTTGAAATATTTGTTTTATATTCAGGGAACAGATGGTTTGAAACGTGTTTGTGGAAGCGATGTCTGTGATAAAGTAAAGTTTTGTGTATCAGTAGGTAGTACTCAACGGACTCAATGTCTCTCTATTGGTAGGTGTGATACTTTCTGGTAGTTTCACTATCTACAAAATGAAATGAATTTAACTCAATTCAAGCTTACGAACCTCCAGCCAGTTGTTATGCACGGTACCAAGATAATATATATATAAGCCTCGTCCCATTGTAAAGGTTACTCGCCCCACATCTCACAACAAAGTGCCCTTCTTGGTGCAAAAATGAAGATAACATTTAATTATACATATTAGTCAATGTGTTGATGATCTCGGTTTCAGTTAAAAGTTGTGGCAAACCACCACCAGTAAACAAAACAACCGTTGATTACACATCGACATCGTGGATGGCTAAAGCTAAATATGATTGTTCTGAAGGGTATAAATATGTCAATGGAAGTCAAATTATTCAGTGTACAAATAGAGGCTGGACAGTACCAGGCATAGTCTGTGCTAGTAAGTTACTTTTACATCAAAAGACGGACAATACTATTATTATTGCTGTGTAATATTTTTATTAGAGATTGAAAAAGTAGCTTATGCAAATGCTGCTGTCGTGGCTTTGCACATATTCAGTCACCATGTATCGCGGTATGAAGCGATTTGATTGGATTTTACTCCAATGAATAGGCCTACGGACAATCTGAGCGCTCGACATAAAAGGATGTAAATATTATGGCATGATAAAAAAAAGATTACTATTGCAGTCCGGGTATAATACGTATAATAAGTTCGTAATAGCTTGACAATGTCAATAGCAATTCTGATCAGGAGCAGCGAAATTCATTAAGTTTCATTTAACAATTAGTTGTATAGCATTGCAGTCGAGAATTGATTGAGTGATTGAAATTTGTTTAGCATGTTATGTTCCCATATAATGTCTTTTACAGGTGATATTACATCTAACTCCATTAGATCTGTAAATGATAATGATGAGTCTGGTCCGGGTAGTATTGAACAGTAAAGAGTATGTTCTGAAAGTTATGGGACTTCTTCGGAGTTTTTTTTTCTTTAACACTGCAATAGCTCAGATGACAGAAGACAAAAGAGATCTATTATAACTTACATTTTGAAAAAAAATACTATCCCGATAATGTATGTGTTGCTGTTAATACTGGTGTATCTGGTATTCAATGTACAGGGAAATAAATATGACCATATAAACATTACTTTCTTTTTAAGTGCAAGTGAACCGTGTTTCTCAAAAAATACTCTATATTAGCTGTATTACTTATGTTCCATTTTCATATACTTTGCATTTGGAAATTGGATTTATATTGCAGTCGCCCTATCAGTCCGTCGGTCCGCATTACTTGTGGACTTATTATTACTTATTTGAGTCCGATCGTGGCGAAATGTGGTATGCATCAGATCAAATTTGAAATTTGTAATAAATGGGATGAACGTTTTTCGAGTTATCGCACTCAAATTTCGCATAGAAACGATGAAGCTTGAAACCCAGTGGGCGTACTATGTTGTTACCTGCCTCACGAAGTGCATGGTCTGTAAAGCTAATTAGGCTAAAGTCCAGCCCTTGGTGCATGCCGATTTCCAATGGTAATGCTACGACTACTTGTTGTCTGAAGTTGAACAAGAGTTATCGTCCTTTTGGAACTCTTTTAATATTAAGGGTAAAATGGCGGGAGATAAAGTCGACAAACAAACTTTGAAATCTTTTTATTGAACTTTCTGAATTTCTCTTTGGCTTTCGGCGCCTTCTGTATCAAAATGAGATTAACATGTAATGTTGAAATAGTTAACAGACTGCTTCCCTCGTATAATATGAAAAAACCATCTGCTAAAGCCCATTCCCAAATCTCTCTTGGTAAAAAACCTGGGTCATCAAGCAAAGATTCTGCACTGTTTCTTATGATATGTACCGCTAAAGATAGAAATGGCACTAAAATATTGGTAAGTAAATGAAATTTTTTTTTTTGAATTGAAGTGAAGGCCTCGGTTAAACATCAGCATTGCTGTTTAACTGACATGATTGGCTTATAGCTAGACTGATCTAGTAATCTGGCTGTGGTCTAGTAGCCTAGAATCTGGGGCCTTGATCCAATTGATTAGATTCAATCTTTAATATTTTGCAATATTTACATTATTGACTAATCATTACCGTTTATTTCAGTGCAATCTTGTGGCATTTATTTCATTTATATCATTTATTTCATTAACTCCATCTAACAATTGGTTTTCATTCAATGGGTATTTGGTATTTTTAAATTTTTTTTTAATAAATCATCAATTTCAGTGCAAAAATTAAAGTATCAGTTTTTTTTTCTTTTTTAGGTCTTTGGACTACGAGTACAAATTTCCATATTGACATATTAACCTTAACATTCATGAACATTGCTTTAACCCTGTGCCAGTGCCTTCTGAGATAGTTACCTTTCAACCACCCTAATCTCAAAAAAATATGTACTGTTAACCTCGAAAATATAACTATAAATTTGCCTGCTCCGAGATTTCACAGTAAGCTACATCATGTATATATATAGTAGGCCTACCTGTGTAAAAGTTTAAAGCTGTAATGCTTAAACAGATTATGGTAAGAAGGTTTCGTAATAATTTACTACTTTAAATGAATTACAGGTAAAAGATAATATTGAACAGTTTTTTGCTAAGTTTATAAATGAAGGTAAAGCTACAATTAGAGTGAAAGATCCACAGAATGATATTTGTATCAGTAAGGTAGGTGTCAGGCCATTGAGATCTTTAATTATAAAACTTAGACTTGAAATAAAGTTGGATGTACCAGTAAGTTAGTATTAGATCATTATGTATTAGTTTATCTAACTAGTGTAGATAAATATGGAAGTTCAGATATCATCATCCTACTTTGGGTTTGATTTCATAAAAGATTTGCACCTAATTTTAGAAATTGTTTTCCATTTCAGGCTGACCCTCTACAGTTGAAGAACTTTCTGAATTTGGTTCGAGCTGCTAGTCAAGGAAAGGAACTAGATCGAGTTACACTCTCAGCATTAGCTCCTGCATCTGCTCGCAATGTTGAAAAACCAAAATCAAAAATGGTGGTTCTTACACGTAAAGACTATCCAATTACAACCAATTTTCCAAGTAGCCTAATCCACTTACAGGTATCTCATTGTAATATGAAAAGAGTGGATTCAAGAATTCTCAACCTAAAAAAATTACAAATTCTGGATTTAAGTGAGAATTTGATTCACCAATTACCAGAAAATTTTCATAACCTTCCAAAGTTAAACACCATACATCTCAATAAAAACCAATTCACAGTATTTCCAATGGTGATATGTAAAAAGCCAATGTGTACTAATATTGTTGCATTAGATCTTAGTGATAACAAACTAACTAAAGTTCCACTAGAACTGTGTGAACTTCAAGCCTTACATCAATTAAAACTAGATAGAAATGAAATAGAATTGCTTCCACCAACTATAGGTAAACTGGGTAGATTAAAAGAGTTGAGTTGTGTTAATAATAATCTAAAAACATTACCTGCCAGTTTTAACAGATTACAGTTGGATTCTCTAGATTTATATGGTAATCCCTTTAATCTCCCTGATAGTGATACAGTCTTAACTTCACATCTAGAATTCCCTACTCTATTAGAGGTTGCTGCTAGAGCTATCAGAAAAATGAGGTGAGTACATGCAATATTTTGTGTGTACCAAACATTACTGGCTTTAAATTTAGTGTTGGGAAATTAAGTTTATTACATACATGTGTAATACTACTCTACCAATACAGGAGATTCATGCCCATGTATTAATTGTATCCATATTACAATTGAATTGAGTCGTTTTTCCTGAATAGCACCATTTTTTTAGGGGCTTGTCAAGTGAGCTACTTGCTGGGCACACTAGGCAAATCCCTGCATGCAATATTATATAAACTGATAGACACAGTTGTATGGTTCGACCATTATATTGATAAATTTGCCTGTAGACAGACACAAGTTTGAATAAGTTTTATTCATATTGAAATATTGATTCAATCTCATGTGTTCATTATTGTTCTTCCCTGATGTGTAGCATTAAAGAATGTTGCATAATATTATTAGTTTCAAGGTATATCCAGAACTTGGTGAAAGTATGAAATAATTTGTGGTATTTTGATGAAAGACGTTTTGTACTATATGCCACTTTAACCTAAATATTTCAGAATACCATACAATAGTGAAGAGATATTTGTGCAACTGTGTCATTATTTGGATTCAGCCAGACAATGTTGGTGTGGTAATTTTTGTTTTCGATGTTCAGCAAGATTTATTTGTCGTATGGACTTACATCAACTTGCTAAAACTGTCACAGGTTGGAACAGTTTAGGAGAAACTTTAGTTCCAGTGGAGGCTTTTCTCTGTTCACAGCATTGTCTTAACAAATTCCAGAAAAATTCAAAGGCATATTGGAAGAAATGAACTGCAGGTCATCATAGTGCTAAATTCTTCAGTGTGATTGTGACTCATTGTCATGTCAATATGTATATATATAAGTCAGATCTCATGTCATATTTATTGTGAATCAATTTCTTCGTGTCCATGCTTATATCTCAATATATATTCATAGATAATTTACCTTCAATGTGTCACACTGATATCAGAGATGGTTCTGTAAATATTGAAGGATATTTCCTCACAATCATATTGATAATGTTCTGTTTAGTGTTTAATATATTTCTGGTTACACTTAAAATGTTGATGGATCAATAAATTGGTTACTTGATGGTAATTATATCATTATTGTATATTATTGACCAGTTTATCAACTGAACGATATATTTGGAAGGTTCATGGGTCTGGCCTATAAAACTAATCTAGTTTGATACAAGAATGCATTGTGACCACAGTCAGATTTGAATGGTAGTGTAAAGACCCAATGTGCATCAATAAAAACATTTTTAAAGCAACAAAATTATATTTAATTCTTTATCTTAAAAGAAAAAAAAATCTCCTTTGCATCTTTTACGTATATTACAAAATACACTGTAAATACTTAATAATTCATATACAAAACATTAGTTATTGACATCATATTAGATTATAGTTTCTATTCAATTAGTCTTAATCAGTTTCATTGTTCTCATCACAGTATTTAGCGAGTTGCTCACCACTATGACAAACTCTTCCAAAAGAGAAAATAGCCATTACATAAAGGTCTTGCTACATAATGCTTATATTCAACTATGAAACTGAATATCCACCCTGCTTATTTATATAGAAGAAAAAATTGTTTCAAAAACACTCACTGACACTAATAAACAAAACACATACAAATATTTACTTCAACTGTTCTCAGTAATATGAATGTTTTCAACCAAATGGTTATATATACAAAATTAATATATTAATAAAATGATGGAACACAACACACCTATACTGTTCAATTCAAATAGACGCTTTTAAACAGGCCAAGGATTTTTAATCTTTAAATGATACACAGGCATGAACAAACTGCATGTAAATCTGACTTGTATCTATTTGTAAATAAATGAACAGTAAATTTTAAACTTTTATATTCACTCATCTAGCAATTTGTCTACCATTGCCAACAAAATCATATTCTTAGTGAGGGAAATGCAATGTTTCCAATATTAACTCACTCTATATATACATACACTATAAATATTATTAATAATATTAACAAATTTCATATAAACAAATAATAAATATTAACAATTCAACATAAAAATATGAACAAAGACCAATTTTTGTATCTGCTCTATGAATTAGCTACACAGCACATAGATTCAGTTTATAAGCCTACCCTAAACAAGGGATTCTTACTTCAATATTAACTTCAGTTTGTTTTTCAGAAGATGGCTCTAATGTTGTCCATTATGAATAAACACGAAGTTGTACTTATTTGCCACGTTATAATGACATCTATGACCAGTTTCTATTCAAAATAGAAATATTGTTTGTCATTTACTGCTTTCTTTCTCATAGACATAGTCATTTTATATTAGTTCCAGTCCAGAACTAGCATCCTTCTGGTTTCAGCTTACAGATTCTCATCATTTAGATGGTGACATCATCATCAATCATCTTCATAACAGCCAACATATCATCATTAATACTGGTAGTATGAGAAGATGATGTTGAAGGTACTGTAGGTAGATCCTCTAAAGGTTTAGATGTTGATGGTGCTGGCTGATCTGTAGAATAATGTTTAGCTTCGGGATCAATAGTACCACTATCATCATCAGAATCTAGTAATTCTTGTGGTGGTTTTAATTTAGATAACTCTATTCTCAACTGGTTATAATATCTCTACAATACACAATTTTAAATTGAATTCATAAAGTTTCTTAAACCCTTTAATATGTGATGAAAGTGGACATATAGACCACTTTACAGGGTTGAAATATATATCATTGTTGTAAGTTAGAGATTGATTTAATGCTAATGGAGAAAAGATTTTGAAAATTTTGCCTTTTTTGACATCAATGAAAAAATCAAATTCAAATCAGGCAGACACTCCTTTAATATGTCACAAGGGTTCTAAATATTTTTTATTCACCTTCAAAGCTAAAGTACTATGAGCTATAGCTCTACCAGTTCGTTTATCATTACTATAACTCTCCATTTCACCAATCCATTTCTCACACTGGTTTAATATCTCGTGACGCTTCATATAGAAATGGCGGGTCAGTACCTAAAAATACAAATAAGTCTTAATCTTCAAAACACAAATGTTTTTTATTATTCCACTCCTTGAAACTTTAGGATTAGAATAAGTTTTGATGAATAGTGTCTCATGGACTGGCAAAATGAAACTATCATTGTCAAATTATTTTGTCCAAAACAGTTAAAACTGGTTTGAAATTTAAATTTGGTTTTCTACACTCACAGAGCCACAAGAACTCTCATCAAACTCAAGTTAAAGGATTTTCATTACTTACATCTTTAAAAGCTGGTGAAGGTGTTTTTAAGGCTTCTAACATTGCCCATTTAACAGTAGCTTGTCTAATATTAGAATCATATTCCCTAGAACTAGCCATTCCTGATGGTGTTCCTCTAGATCTCTCATAACCAGGTTCATTAAAATAAGGTTCATTGACTAAAATTAGGGACTGTATAGAAACCAATACCTAAAAAATAAATTGAAGAAAGGCACATGATTTTGCAGATAATATATATATTTAACATAATTTCAATGGAGTTATCAACATATCTGAAAATTCATCTGTTGGTAAGAGATTGAAAAGCAATGAAAGAGTTTTACCTGTAGAAAACTGGAGGTATGAGAATTCCATTTTTCTTCTGGTCTTCCATGCCATGTATTCAATACACTTAGACAGACCTATAAATTTAAGGGTATAGATAAGAACATGGCAACACGCAGCTTGAAAAACTTGTTACTTTCAAACCATGAATATTTTGTAATATGACAGTGTGCATTCATTTGAATATAGGTGATTGTTGAAATGTTTAGATATCTAATGTTTGTCTTTCACTTTTCAAAAGATTGATTTTCTAAGTTTTTTTTTTACACAATTACCGGTAAAAAAAAAGATTTCTTTATGAAATTAGACCCTATTAATTTGACTGTCTGATAGAATATATACATACCTTGCCATCATTATAAAGATTAGGATTAAATCGAACTGTATGGTTGCCTGTTGTTTGAAGATTAATAAAAGGCGGAGATTCAGGATAATCCAATGGAAAATATACATCAAATTCAAAACAACCATTAGCATAAGGTGTATCAGCTGGTCCAGTAATTAATACCTAAAACATACATACAAGGTAATAACTAATGACTATTATAATCAAATTTTTGAAAATGTTTAAACTTTAATCCTTTAAATTAAAGGATGATTAGTCTGTTAGTTCCATAGAGAGTGGTCAACTGCAATGCCAGTGACTGTCATAAAAGATAACCCCAAAAAATATTCCTTCTTCTTTATATCTTGTCTCCAAAATAAACATCATATGTAAGATATGTCTTAATTCCTTGGGACTGGATCATTTTGAAGTGTTGAAATGTGCAAATATAGAGCTACTACAGAGCTAATATAGAGTTCATACTCATATTACAGTTTAAATAAAAAAAAATTAACGACAAAAACAATTGACTTCAATTCAACAGACACAAGATATACCTTCATAACATCTAATCTTTCTTCATCACATCTTACAAAAACACTACTACTAGCTGATAGAGGTAGAGATGTTGATAGAGTAACAGCTTCTTGAGCTAATCTTCTAGTTCTACTAGAATTATTAGCATCACCAGAACTTTTAACATTTGATTCAAATTGATGTGGTATTAAAAACTTGATACCATTTCCTTCTTCTACTACCATTTCATATGTATCTATAAACATACATGTACAAACAATTAGCAACAGATTTATCTAGGTTGACGTATACTGTTACAGACTGTATTAGGATAGAAGGTTGATCATTGCCTGCCTCACCAGAAAAAAAGGCTACAAAGTAATTTTTTTCCCTTCTTATAGACAGATATTCTAGATTTAAAAACGACACTGGCATATGGGAGTTTGCTTGTTTTTTAATGATTTGTTATTAAGTAAATGAGAGTCATACAAACATAATGAAGAGAAGAAAGAGAATAAAGCTTACCAAACTGTAGTTCCTTCATTACTCTCATATATTTCTCTTCTATGGTCTCTTTATTTTTATTGATTTCAGATTTAGAACAGGCTCCTTCACTAACTTCATTCATATCAACTAAAAAATGATCATCAATGTTATGTCATATCACAGCATTATTTAAGTGATAAGTAATATCAAAATAAGAAAATTGTAAAAACTAAAAATTATCTGAAAGCTTTGTAAAGCACAGTCTTGGAGTAAAATACCTATGACCTATACACTACCTTTGTTATATAATGTATCAATATATCTAAATTAAATTTGGCACCTTGATCTGAAAACCACCATTAAAATAATTAGTATCTTATTTACCTTGTTGTTGTTTTAGTCTATCAGTTGAAACTCGAACTATTTGAGCTGTATCTTGTATATCAGGTATTAATAAAGCTAGTCCTTCACTTTCTTCTTCCATTTTACCCTTACTATTCTTATTACATCTACAATAATAAAACCACATTAACATAGGATACCTTGTCTTTTTTTTGGTGCTTTTCTCTTTAATATCTTAGGGTTTTAATCTTTTAAATGTTGTATAATTGAAAATAAAATATAGATGTGATGTAATCCTTTGAGGTTCCAGTTTTAATTTTCATTTTATTGGTACTAGAAAAGTGCCCATATTTTCAATAAGTGATCCAAATTTGTAGAGTTATTGGTCTATTATTTTGGGGGACAATAGTGTTCTGGCAAGTGGAATATTTGAAAGCCATTTTTATCAGAGCTGCCACATGCAGAAAGACTGCTGACATTGATTATGACTTTAATCATTTATTAACATTAATTTAACCTTACTTGAGTCGACTGGCATATGTATCAACACATCCTTTCATCTTGTCTAATAATACTTCTATAGCTACAGCAGTATCTTGGTTAGCTTCTACTTCTAATGGTAATAATAATGGTATCAGGGTAGGACATACAGCTAGAGCTCTCAACAACTCTAATAATGCTCTGTATAATGGTACATGTCTCGCCATATCTAATACTGAATCATTACGTAAATAAGATGATATAGCTGGTACTAGACACGATTGTTCTAGTAAATCAGGTACTATTGATGGTAGTAATGTTGTTTCTGTAGGTGGTATATAGGTTGTAGAGTAAAACTCTTTAGGTAAATAACCACCAGGATTAATATAACTAGCCAGAACCTGTAATACACAATCATGGAAAATATTATGAAAATTGATTCTATCCTTAAGCATGCTATTTTGTGATGTTAGCTTTTAAAGGATAATTGTAAACTCCTAGGCAAGTTTCCAATTCTTAGATTCCAAAGCAAACCATACACGTGTAGATATTTAATATTTCTATATCTCGCCTAATTATGAAACATTTGTATATATTCCCCTGTATTCATTTATTGAAATATGTACTGGCTGTGGAATATCTCTCTTTTACAACAGTAACAGTGAGTTTCCCACTTAAACAAAGAGAAGAGAAAGAGTAAATATAATATAATTAATTGAATATAGTGTCTAACCTGTAAGAGACAAGTAACATGTTCTTCTTCACTTCTCTGTCTTAATAAAGCCTGTTCAGCATCCCAGCTAGATGTGGTCGATCCTGTACCAAATCCTGTACCTTTAGCCCAATAATTCTGAGTTTTCTCTTGAGTAGGGTTTAAACCTGTACTAGTAGCTACCTGCATTGCTGATAGTATCAATTGAGTCTGAAAATAACAATGACAATCTTATGATATGTTGAATTTAAATTACAATTGTTATATTCTGTAATTAATTTCAAATTGTGCAGAGATCAAAATTCTGCCTCCTGAGAAGTATATTAAATATATTCTTTTCCTGAATGCAATGACTTTTTATCTTCAATACAGTTTACTACATACCTCATGTTGAAAGCCTGAAGTACAGACCCTAGGAGCATGATGACTCAATACTGATAAACAAGCCAATAATAGATGTACCACACCAATATCTAATCCCATTCTACGCAATAACAAACCATCATCAGTGGTCAATGGTGTAGCATCAAATAAAGATTTTAATACAGTAAATGGTAATGTTGGTAGAGAACTAGCTAAAAGCGATGTTAATATATGACCTGCAATAGAAGGTTGAATTACACACTGAACAGGGTAGCAAAATCTATAACAATAGAGGGTAACTTACACTTCATCTCTTTATGGAGGTTGACTTTAAAAGACACATTCATCTTACAAGAAATTTCAAATTGTTGGGCTGTAGGCCTAATTTTAATGTCATATTGAAAATATGATAATTATATATGGAAAAGATTATTTCCTATTGATATTTAATATTGGTCTTGCTATCATTCAAAATGATTAAGAATTATGGAGTATTAATAAAGAGTACAGTAAACTGTTACATACCTCCATTACCATCATCAGTAACACCTAACACTAATCGTAATAAACATTGAGCCTTTTTACGTTCTTTTAATAACACCTCAGCATACCCAGGTAGACGTAAAAATAAACCAAATGCTATTAAGGAATGGGGTGGTATGGTAGGCATAGTACCAGTAGCAGTATGTCTTCTCTGGGGTCTTACTGCTGGAGATAATGGTTCAGTATATGGCTGGAAAGGAAGAGATAAACCATCAGGGTAACAACTTAGGCTTTGTGGATTTCTGCCCTAGATTTCTTGTATCAAACCTGGTTCAAAACTAAAATACAAATTCCTTGAAGGAAATGCTAAAATTGATAAAATTGATGACAAAGAATAAAAGAATATAGACATTGGTAGATACTTTAGGCAAACTACTACTACTCCTTACATCATAAAGTTCATCTGAAGATTCTACTGTCACCCAATCTAGTCCAATATCATTTCCATTAGTATTATCAGTCACAGTTTCAGTGGCTGAGGCTTGACGCGTTATTTCTGGATACAACAAGGGCAAGTGTTCAGCTAATAGTGCCAATCCACCAACACTGGCAAAGACTTGTAATGCTGTAGGTATAGGCGAGGTTGATAATAAAACTTCATCAGGTATAGTATTATCATCGTCTTCCATAGGACTAGAACCTGAGAAAATATACATCAACATAATAATCTGTTTCAATTGAACCATAGATATAATTAACTCTCTAAAGACTACTACACATATTATAGATGTATTATGGTTTACAAGACATTTAATTTCATTGAATTTTTGAAAATGTAAATTTATAAGCATTTTTTAAAAGCAGATTGGGTTGAGTCTTTGTTATGGTAGTTGAACGTAGAAACTGCCTACTTTTAATCTGCTTAAAGCATGTTATAAAAATAGAAGTTTCCTCTTCATGTCTTGTTGTTGATTGAACATGCAAATCAACCATATAAGTATAATAAAATAATGATATATCTTATTGACATAATCTAATAAACTTACTGGTTTCCATTGAAACATTGCTAGCTTGTCTGGATTTATTCTTACTACTTTGTAATTTGACAGTAAATTCTATAGAATTATTATTTGTACATCCTCTCTGTTGCAATAAACATAATAGTTGAGTCAGAGTTAGTTCTCCTGGTAATGATTTATCTACAAATAAATATAGAAATTTCAAATTCTGTATTTAGGTCAACTGCTGAATAACAATTTCTCAGTTTTCACATATTGATTTGCCAATTGTTTTTATTATAAGAAAAGAAAAATTTGACATACTGTTAAATAAATGGTGTTGTAAAGTAAAAGTAGGCAATTTTATTTGTGGTGAACTATCAGGTTCAGCATTACGTCTACGTCTAGTTGGGGGACGTGGTGGCAGGGAAGAAGTTGAAGCTTTACTAGTAGTCGCTGTTGAACTTGATGCTGGACTCTTTTCTCTCTTTTGTTTTGCTAATAGACCTGGAAAATAAAACCATAAAAATAAAATTTTACAACCTACTTTTCTACCGCAGATATGGCTGATGTTGTTGTTTTCTGAACAATAAAAATGGATCAGTGGTACAGTATAGCCAAAGAGCTTTGTACTATAAAGTGCACAGTCTATAAAACACGGGACTTGGTTTATTGTCCCGCTTTTTCCAGGTCAGCCCATGGGGGAAAACCAGGTTAAAAAATCCGAAATAATATCTTGACCTATGCAGGTATTAAATCCTGAACCTTCAGGTTAGCGAGCAAGTGTCTTACTCATTGAATCACCACAGTTCCCATTTTCAATATCCAAGAAATTATTATTTAAATCATAAACAATGTAATCAATAAATAAGGATATTATCATTTGTTATTTTTTACCATAAAAGCTAATTTTTAGTTTCAATATCAGTTTATTGTTCTATGTCTGACAGGAAATAGTTTACCTGCAGCATTAGAAAGATATTCTACCACTTCTAACCCTGTTTCACCAATATCTTTCTTCTGTTCACTCTTCTTATCATCTCTACCATCTATTAAATGAGCAGCTAATGACTGAGTATCTACAGAATAACAAAACCCAGACATATGATACAAATCATTGAAGTGGTCAGTGTGACAAAGTTCATTAAAAACTTAAAATAGTGTTTGGAACATTGATATGTTCATATAGATAAGAGATCATTACATGCTGTTCACACGTACAAATTTATGGTGTTAGGCTAATCTGGTGATATTTTCAGAAGACAAACTGTGTACAAACCTGGAATAACTGTCAGTAATTCAGAACAGGGTGTATTAACATTAACTTGAGATACACGATAACCTTGTCCTGCTCCATAACGAGGATGATGTACTAAATAATTAGTACCCGGAGTTTTAATCAGTGACTGTGTACGAGGTGAATTTAGTACTACTAATATCTTCTCATCTTGTAATAAAACTTGTAGTAAAACACGTCTAGTAAATCCTGACAGTGGTACCGAACCTAAAATACTTCCTGAAAAGAAAATTTCATAATAAGAACTTGAAGTAGCTATTTGAAACTTGTATCAGACATGAATGATAAATACAATCAAATCAACAAAGCTGCTTTCTGCTACCAGACTGAGACTAAGTGGTTGAAAATGATAAGCTATAGTCCATACCTCCTCTAGTTGTACCCTGATTCTGTATAACTTCACATAAAACTTTAGAGAATAACAGTTGATTGGTAGGATGACAAGATATCATTTCATTAAAACAATGTATAGTAGCTGTTTCTAATACAGATCTTTCTTCATTTGACATCAGCTGAAATAATGAAATACAGATATCGAAATTTATAACTAAAAAGATTTGAACAAGATAAGGACAACTGGATATTTCAGGAATCATTCAATTTTATCAGTCATTGATACTTGAAAATTATTTTTAAGAAATACTCTCTCGTTCTATGTAATAATATAGTAAAGAAAGGTAACTCTATTTCAAGGTAATCAAACTGAGTATGTAGAACTTACCTTGCCAGTTTTATTATTAGAATGAGCAGATAAGGAACTGGACTGTGAAGAATAGTTACATAAAGCTGACAGTAATACAGGCCAGAATATATTGCCTTCTGGACTACCTAACCAATCCTTCATTAAATTTTCTGAACTAACAGTAGCAAAGAACTTAACAACTGATGTGACTAATTCTACACTCATTGTACAACCATCTGGAATATATTATAGTTCTCTATTATAATTGATCTTAAATGATTAATAAATTTTGAGGTACTGAATAATCAAAAGCAAAAGAACTAGTTTAAAAACCATTTAAAAACTTTTACGATTTGGTAAAATTTAAATATATTCTAATGCATAAAAGAATTTTGGTCTGCAGTAGAATTTATTGCTATGTACTGTTGAAGACTTAAATAAGATTGTATTTTTTACTCTGCTCTGTATTAAATCTTAAATAGCCCTACAAGAATAGGCATGGTTATTTTAGATAAAAATACAAAAAAGCTTACCTGGGCTACTTGCATTACATGCATTACCATTAGAATTATTCATACCATTGGTACTCTGTTGACTTTGTTTCTCAATGTTGCTCCTAATCTCCTGATAAGCAAATTCATATAACCCTTGAGCCAGAGCAGCAGGAAAACTAGAGTCTAATAATAACTTGATAGAGCTTGGTGATTTACACACAATACCCAAAGTGGCTAGTCTACTCTCATCCAATATAGATGGATTGAACTCCTGAATGTTAATAGAGCCAGTATCAGAGAATGTTGGTTGACGAGTGGCCTCTTTAGAATCATCGGATAATGGATGCTGTGTAGCTTCTTTAGAGTCATCTGTCATTGACTGCTGGTTGGTCTGGAAGCTGTCTTTATGATCATCAGTTATAGAAGCTGACATACTAGTTACAGCATTGACTAATATACCCATCCATTGTAAGATATGACAGAAATATTGTGATTCTATATAGCATATAGAACATAATACATAGTCTATAGATTGTTTTAACAGTGAGCCTGGTGTCTGTATCATTGACCATTTATATAAAGAACTGTAAATATAAAATATAATAAATCTCATATAACCCACTATACCTACAAAAGACCAGAAATAGGGATCAAAGAGATATAGTAACTTCTGAAGGTTAATTTATTTGTAGATGTTTTGTTATAAACAATCATTTCATGCGATTTGTTTGTATTTGTAGAAAACATAAAGCAATTAAAATTTAAGGGCGGAAATCATTTTTTTTTAAATATATCTTACAAAAAAAGACGATTCTATTTAACTAATTTTCAGGCTGCAAAAAGTTATTCTGATACAAGACACTATTATTGCTACGATTGGGGCTTACCTGACAAAGTCCTGTGTTATCAACTGTTTTAAGTTATATTGTACTGGTAATTGTTGACACTGCCACAAAATAGCAGCTATACAATGTATATGTGATGGTGCTGGTATTGCAGTTGATCTATTAGAATTATAGTTCTCATGAGATAATCCATTATTAGATAGGTTCACCTTATCTAAATTTCTATTAGCACAATCACCTAGCCATTTTAATAATGATTCAACCCTGAAAATAATACTAAGGCATTAATCATCCTTCTATGACTTTCCCAACAATGTCATTCTACACAAATAACCATTACTTGATTAGCAATAGGCAACTTTGATTGGATATTTACTCATGCAAACACAATTTTGTTGGTTGAGGATTTGGAAAGATTGAAGATTTGAAGATTCTTAGATCATGAGAAATATCCATGATAACTTCTGTAAAAGGAAGGAAAATTCATGTCATACCTGTGGGGACTACCATCATCTTGTAAAGTACCCAGCTGATAAATGATCTCTACTGTAGACTCATTAGCAAAACCAGTTACTTTTCCTGAAAGGGGAAAGCATGAAAAATCAGAATTATTATATATAACTTACTGAACACGGCAGAAGAAGCCAAATTGGAATGTCTGTCCATGTACTAATTTAATAACAAAACCTTGGGACTAGAATTTTTTCATTGTCTGGATATTGGTCTCTTGGAGGTTTTTATCAACAACCTGTTAAAAACTCACCTCTAATTTGTTGTTGTAATGGTTCTTGTAGTAAGTAGTGTATTAACTCTAATCCTAACTCTGTTGATAACAGTCCTATCTTTAATAAAACTGATTCTATTTTATTGTTATAAAGATTAGCTGCTGGTGACACTAGTAATGATACACAAGTTTGTAGTAAATATGGTGTTTGTGAAGCAGCAGTACAAACTCCTACTTCTTGTCCTGTCACATTCAAACAGTGATGTAATAGTCGAACCCATAGAACACTGAAATAAATTGAAAACATTTTAATGAATTTCCATATTTAGCTTTCAAATACTTACCTTCAAAAAAAAATTGAAACTCATTTTTTTGCTGACTTTTGTTGCAATTGGGCATTTAACTTGAAGATAAAGGAATGCATATTTGTAAGGGCAAAAATGATATTCCAATGGCTCCCCAAATTTTTTGCAAATCTTTACTTTGCACACACAGTTACTGGCAAATAGATATAATTTTCAATGACAAAGAAGACATACCTTGATTTAGTTGAAGAATCTTCAGTATTAGCATTACTATTGGTTGAAACTACAGAATTACCAAAAGCACTGTGACCCATAAGAGCAACTTGTGCAAGACCAATAGTCATGGAATCTCTGGCTTTATGGAGTCGTATTGTTACAGTTGACATAACTTCTGGTTTGACTAGTTGTAGTTTGATATATGCTAGGCTGGATGTCATCATTGGAGGACACATTGGAGTCACCATAGTTCCATCATGAGAGATCTCTAGTGATATATGTGATGGGCAAGCTGAAAAGAAAAGGATTCATGGAATTACAATTTGTCTCAGGTGTTCACAAAATCAATTACAAATCTACAAGCATATTTTAACCTAAATTCATATGCTGAAAATTTAGCATATTATTAACCAAAATTAGGAAACATTAAGAAATGATTACTTACTAGACAGTGAAGCATGAGGTTGTATCTGAACTTCCTTCAACAAAATAGCAAATGGAAGTTGAATAGTAAGATCAACCCATGCCTCATCAGGATAGAAATGGTAAGACCAGGCAGGAGATCTAGCTCGTCTGTGTGGTGGTGCAGCTTGAATCAGTACATCAGAAGGACTTGCTGTAGGACTGCTTGAAGAGATTTGACCTACAAGTATATAATATAAATTACATTATTTGATCTTGTAGCAAGATATTTTTAAATAATTGGAGTGAGAATATGAATTTCCACTACAAAATTTCCATAATTAAGATCCTGATAACTTCTACTAATACTTTAATAGAACCAATGTATGTCATTTTTAATTTTATTGTCTAATTTGAATAATGTTCGAAAACCTACCTAAAGGTGCAAAGTTTTGCATACCATCAACTGTATTATCTGAATCACTAACATCTACCTTTTTACTACTACCAGGACTGGTATTATTTATATGTTGCATAATAGTTGATATAATAGAGGGATGTGTACTAATCAGTTGTTGATTACAATGTACTAGTTGATTACATACCAGTTGTATACCACCTAGAATAATCAATATTTGTTGCCTTCTCAAATTCCTTAAAAACTTTTGATAAAAGAAAGTAAAGTACCAATGTATGTTTTATTACTGTATTTTCAGCATTGTAAAATATCAAAACAATAGTGTGGTTCAAAGTTAAACATCAAAAGAAACTTAGTCAAATATAACAAAGTCAACTTACCCATTTCGAGGAACAGTTTAACTGCTCGTGAGGAATTGAGAACTTTTAGAATAAACCATAATAATGGTTCAGACAGTCTACATAATGATGTCCAATGATTTTCAGTTCCTCTAGATACATATTTTAATATTGCCTGTAACATGAGTTTAGGATCTGAACTACGTTGATTAAGAGTAATCATAGTTTGATAAACACTGTCTCCTACAGACACTGGGTTATTTCCCATCATATTCTCCTGTAGAACACCTAATATCACTGCCATAGAACTACTGTTACAGTAACTCAATGCTTGGATCAAATTCTGCATAATATAATCATGTCCTAATATAATATCAGCTAGACAGTTAGTGACACTGATTTCATTACTTTCACTTTCTTCTCCTTGTTGACTCTTTTGATCATCAGACATAGCAGTTAGTGGTGTTGAAGAAGCTAGAGCCTGTGTTAGTTTATCTGTATCTGACATAGCATCAGATAATATAGGAGTCAATGGTTCACTGATGTCTAAACGTTGTGTCTGAGCTCTAGAATTGGGTAATTGTACTTGAATTAATATATTGATCAGCTTCATCAGGTTACACATCAATAAATCTCTTGAAGATTCACCCAATACTGATCTTGATCCTCCCCGTAACAAAGTAGCAAACAATCCACCAAAACATGATCTAGCATTGATATTGGATTCTAATGAGCTACGACAAGCCACTTGATCTTGACAAACAATATGTTGATGAACTAAACTAGTAATGGACTGTATTACACTTAAAGCATTACTAATATCAACTTGACTATATGAAAGATCTAGAGCAAACTCTGTTAGTTTACATTGAGCATCCAACGGACCCATACAGCTATAGAAAGCTCCTCTGAAACAAAAACAATGTTAAATTTAATAACCTATGTAACAATAATTCAAGTTTCAATGTTTAATGGCATTCCTGTTTAACATTTGTTTTCTGATCATAAAACAATTGAGTGCTTTCTTAGTGGTTACAGGGCAATAGATACTCTTTCCTGGCTTTGTCATTCTTAACAGCGTTAAATTCCCTATTACCAGTACACATATTTCTTTTTTTATTGTTTTTATTTTGTCCCCTTTTGAACTCTGAATCGTGGAAATTGGTTGATGTTCATATAGTAACTTGAGTAACTTCAAAATCAAGTCCTTTACATCGAAAGTAAATACATAATAATATGTTACCTCACAGTCTATTGAACACTTGTATCTTACCTATCAACAGTTAATACATAGATTAATTTCAGAATCAATTCTTTTAACTTCAAAGCATTTCCTCTACATGATTTGATTAACAATCTTCTTAAGAATTCATTAAATGACTTGACAGCTGATGGTCCAACCTATAAATAATGATTCATTATGAAAAAGGTCAGCAATGTATCAATTTAACAGAAGCCTGTTAGTTAATAAGTACAATAAGCCACATATTGTCAGCTTATGTAAGCTTGTAATTGTTATAATTTGCTTAAATTGTCAAGCATGTTATTACAAGTAACTCCTTATACCATTAATAACACTCTTACCTGAGTAAATTGAGCTCCTGCAGCAGTAGGACCACTAGAAGATGTTCCTGATAAAAACTTAGTTAACAGTTGATTGAGGTTATTATTAGCTAATATTACAGTCACCATAGAATTATCTGATACGGACATATTGGAATCAGTTTCTGTTGTTGGTATTTTTTGATTAGCAATCAAACATAGTGTTTGAAACACTAGAACCCAGGTACGAACTGGAGGATTAGGTGCCATAACTACAGCTTCTATTAGATTACTAACAGATACTGCATTTAAAGCAATAGTTGGTACACATGTTGAATTAAATACAGTCTGACTTCCTTCTTCGTGGTTTTCTTCATTCAATATCAACCACAAATGAAGTACAGTTTCTAAATTCACATGAAATGATAACAGTTGTCCAAATAATCTGTTAAAACATTCACTTAGCATCTCACTAGATAATATCGTCTGAAAAGAGGAAATATAAGGAAATAAATTTCTGACAATTGCAATACAAAAGATAAAGAAAAGACTAAAGTTTTGACTTCTTGACAGGCATAAAATATCTTAATATATCGAGTGACACTGAGTGAAGTGTATATAAGGTGACAAGAGTGAGACATATCAGTTCTTCTGTGAAGGAACAATGCTTTGGTTGTTGGGGAGGAGGAACTGAAAAGTTGACAACCTACCGTTAACTGACTATTAGAATGATGAATCTGTGATAAATCATCATCAGTAGAATGAGCTTGATTATAACTTTGATTAGAATAATTAGATGCTGGTATAGGTGTACTAAAAGCACTCTGTATATTATCTTGTTGTACTGATGTCATAACCTATAAAATCACAAAATACTTATAAATACAGATAGAAGTCTATACTGCTTGAATGAAAGGTCTTTCAAACTTAAATGCCATCTAAAAGCTTGAAAAAAATATATTAATTAAACAATTGTAAACAAGGCATTCATATTTGATAAGACGCAGGATATTGATGAACTGTCCAAAGAACTTTTCATTTGCAAAACTCAAATGCAACACAAATCTTTTATTATTATTAAGGCAATGATATAATTTTACCTTTAATCTCAGTTCTGACTGAGTACGTAAACCAAGTTCTAGTCTAGCATCTAAAGCTGTAGATAAACCCTGGAATCCACCATTTGATTTCTGTATATTCAATAAATCTTGAGATGATTTAGACGTACCTCCACCTTTTATCTTATGTTTCTTTGATGGTAAGAAATTACTGGAATAAATATTGCATATATCAATAAATAAATTTGAAAAGGAACAATGCTGGCATGGGTCAACTAAACTTCATGGTGGACAATTTACGTATAAATTATTGAAATATTGCCGAAACAAAAACAGACAAATTCACATTAATTTAACTCAGAATTCTGAACTTATGGTGACTTGTGGAAATAGCAAAGACTCTTCTTCGTGCCAATGATAGATTATATAACTTGCGTAAGAAGCTTGAAGATATGTAAGAGACATGTTAAAAGTAAGTTTTGAGGGACATTAAAGTATACTTACGTAGTTTGATAACCAAGAGGATCAGGTAGACCATTACTTAATGCAGATTCAGTACCAACTGGTACAAACACATTACTAGTATAATACTGTACTTTCTCATTGTCCTCATAGATCTCACCATCATCTAATAGTAGATCTAATATAGCTGAATCTTTCTCATAGTTAATACTACTGGTACCATTAACTTCTTTATTATTATCTGTATTTTCTCCTTCACCAGATATCTCCACTAGTAATAAATACAATATTCTTTATTTTGATACTTTTTAAAACTATCTGTACCATAGTTGAATCTTGTTCAGTAATGTTTTTCCTTGTGGTCATACTTAAATATTGTATCAAAAACTTAAAAGTTAAACAGACATGTGGAGCAGCCAATTCCTTTCTTAGTAATAACATGGAATAATTTCATAGTAATGAAGAAAGAGAGAAACTTCTGTTCACAATTAAGGATTCTTTCTGGTCAAAACCTGTGAGTATTGATCTTTCCTAGATTATACATACCCATTTACAGCTGAAATTATGAGTGAAGATGACTTATTCAAGGTTATTGGACTATTATATGTAATTATGGCAAACAAAGGTTTGAATTCTAGTAATTTTGAATTTACAGTAATTGTTGACTTACTAGATGATTCACCATTACTATCATCAAATGTTGGTAAACTAACAGATTGAGGTAAGGTATCATCTGTTTCTGTTATAGAGATTTCATTACTTTCACTATTACCTTGTATCATAGATGGATATAATCTTTCTCCTGTAAAATATAGAATTGGTCAATTTATCAAACAATTAAATTAATGAAACTAAATGAATACAATTGAATGTAGATGACTTGATACAGTATGCAATAAGGTATAAAATGCACAGCTGCACTAAATGTGCCTTTATGAAGAGCATTGCTTTCTATGTCTTCCAAGGCTGAATACAATCTGACAGGCAACAAAAATGCCTTAGTTTTCGAATGAGCTCATCCAATCAGTTTCAAAGTTGAGAGGTGTCAAATATTGATACCATCTTAGGACTCCTTTGAGGATTTGAGTCATGTATGAGGGGTCAGAAAATTTCTGTCTAAAAACACCACTTAATAAGGTCAATTGTAGCAAGCTTTATTTTGATCAAATAAAACGGTGGAAGATTACGTGGATTAATACGGTTTCAATATGATGAAAATCACTTACCCTCTAATATATCTTGTAGTAAACACATTATAGCATGACTAGCCCAGGGTCCACCCCATGTTAAATTACCAGGACATTCTTTATTAGCAGCTAATAAGATTAATCTCTCTAGTTGATCTTGATTCATTACTTCTGGTATAGTTATAGCTGGTCTAGTGACATTACAAATTCGGGCCAGAACCTACAATATAATTATGAGAGGTTTATATTTAAACTTTTGTGCAGCTATTCCAAGATAATCCTTTCATTCTTCACTGAACACAGAGAGACAGTATTTCTTTGACACTAATTTTATAACATTTTTGTATGGCTCAACATGAAAACTGTTAAGTAAGAAAGAAATTTGTTTACAAGAAACGAGGATCCTTTCTATCAAGTAGTCCTTGGGCCAAATCTCTTTGCATTGACCTCCTTTGATTTAGATTCTATGGTATTAGCTATTAGCGTAGGCAAATTCAATGTATTGTATTTCTTAACAAGATGTTAAATCAAAGACCATTGACTATTTGAGAGGGAAAAGATTGTACCTTTGAAGCTATTACAAAGAGATCAGAATGACAAGTAGAGTCAAGTCCTAATAACAACGCCATTAATCCTTGTACTGCTGCTAAACATTTATCTCGTGGTAAAACTAAACCTTCATTATCATCTTCTTTACCACTATTCCATGTATTACCACGATCACTACCACTTGAGTCTTTCGGCATCTTTCTTATTCTCTCAATATCAGTACGTCTTAAATGTATCAAATCTTTCAAATGCTGAAATAAAATAATATTGATGGACTATAAGTAAGTAAAAGTGAAATGTAACAAGATATTTGAATTAATATTGAATAATTTAGGTAAATAAATTCCCCAATTGGACACAATGATCATTCATTTAAGTTGTCAAGATTATCAAATTTGAATAAATCTCAAGAGTAAAGTGAGGTATTTTTAACTTTTAACAGGATTGTTGCCTTTGAAAAGAGACAAGTGCTCTTATTCTTACCTTTGAGGAGATCTCATTTTTAAATGTTTCAAAGCTTTCTAAGAATTCATGTTGATTACTCTCTACTTTCTTTTTTATTTGTTGAATTTCTTGTAGTTTTTGTTTATGATGTAACAATAGTTTTTGGTTATTACGTCGATGTATTCTACTAGATTTCATTTTTCCTTTAGGTTGAGCTGAAGACCAATGTCCATGTATGAAAGCCCATCTGTTTGTTACTCCATTACCTTCAAAATATCATATATAATGCATAAAACCTAATAGTATACTTTCTATAGATGATAGCCTTTCTTATGAAGTTTTCATATCCTTAATGGCAGTCAGAGTTCACTTAGCATCAGAACATATGTTAATATTTTATAAGTAAGGTTAGTCCAGAAATGAAACTGAAAGTAAAGAAACAAGATTACTTACCATTGTCTTTCTTCTGTTTATCTGAATCATCACCTAAACAACTGTCAAAATTACGACACAGAAACAACAGTATCCAGCTTACTAATGATATATCAATAGACCCTGAAAACAATAAGTATAACATTGGTCAAAACTGGCAAATATAAGCTTAGAAATGTATAGATAAAAAATCTAAAAAGTAGAAGATTTTACTTCAATTAGAAATCAACAAAATCTACATTAGAATTTTGAAAATTATGGTCTATACTTGCATGAAAAGAAATTGAAATAAAGTTAAAGTTACTGTATAAACCTACCAGTGGTGTTATAAGTAGTATCGGTATTATATTGTAATAATGGTGATAACACTCTAGATAACATTACTAACAAACTATCCATTATATATACCGATGATGGTCCAGTTAAAGCCCTCTGACCTAATGCACTCAACAACACAAATACCCTACAATATCAATTATACACATTTAATTATTAATATAGACTTCATAAGCTGATAGCAATTCACGCCAAATGCTCATATGAGATTTGCTAAGCAAAAGGTGGTCATCATTTGAACATGCTTACTCAGATACTTCAGTAGCACATGAAACCATGTGTGTGGGATATAACTACTTCTAAATACCACAAAATAAATAGCACTTTTCGTAAAGAGCTTGAAATCTAATAAAAAAAAAATTTTTTACAATAGAAGCTTACCGATCTTGAGGAAAGACAGATATATTATTAGAACTGAACAGTTCCTGCAACATATTACCAAGAAAACTTCCCCACCACCAATTACTTCCACATATTCTAACAAGTAACAATCCAGCTGTAACCTGCATTCTCCGTGTTCCTAACAAGCATACGTTCTTAAACAATGTTTCAGCAGTAGAGGGTGTTAGAGCAGAATATAATGTAGAGGGAGGTTGAGGTATGGTTGGTGACAGTGAAGTTACACTCAACAGAGTACCCAACAAACTTTCCAATATAAATCGTAATTTATCCGTGGATGATTCACGTAGATAACCAGTAACATTCTGTGTATCATCTAGCTGTCTTGATTTAATGCCAACAGCACGTTGTAATCTGGCTATAGCTCTAACAGCTATATTGTATTGTAATTGTAACTGTATACAGTCATTGTAAGATTGTAATATACCACTGTCATCATCTTTAGTTTGTTTATGTAAATAATATTGTATATGAGAGCTAGCTGACTGACTGTCATGTACAGAAGTCAGTAAGGACTCCAATCGGGTACGAGCAAGACTATAACGACATTGTAAATCTTCCTGTAAAGCTATAAACATGCTCAGATGAGAGAGAAGTTGTGATTGACTCTGTGCTTCGAGTTGACTGGTAGAAGATGTAACTGTTGAAGATTGGTTATCCAGATTGGCTTTCCATTCCCATGGTAAAATGTAACTATGACCAAAAAATGATCCTATAGGTATTCTGGATCTTGTTGTACCAGCTCCATAACGACCAACAGTTGTGATCTGAAATATGAATCCAAGTTAAATCTAGAATGATTTCAAAAGCACCTTATTGAGGCAAAATGAATTTTTCTGAGCATAGACCTGAAACATAGTTGTCTTTGGGCCATCCTTCCATGGTAATGGGGTTTTTTCTGTAAGTATCAGTGATCTCAATTTCTATTTAATAAATTCCCCAAAAACAAAACTGAAAGAAGAACTACCTTTAAATATCTACAGACAGGAGCAGGCATGATGTTATTCATTATCAATGTTCTAAAACCAATATCTGATGCTACCACTAATCTTTGTCCATCAATCTCTTCCCCTTGTATCCATACATCAATAGATAATGATGCTAAATCTTCACATGATGGTATGACCACATCACTTAATACAACAGGTTTACCAAAATCTAATGTTACAAATCTTCTAGCACCTGTCAAATATTATTCATAATCATTGTTTGCTTATAATGTAGAGGACATTGACATCATTACAAATTCTATACATTAAAGGAAACCACTAGACTTCAGTTGATTTAAAAACAAACTGTACTGAACTATACAGAATTAACAGAGATACCATTATAACCAATATTATCAGGAACTCTCAAACACACAACAGCCAGTTAGTCTGTTTATGTAGAGTGTTCACATTCACATTTCAAATAATAAATGTCTAGACATAAATATCTGTGACAATTACCTGAATGCATTCGTTCTATAACTAAAACTTGAGGTGTAGGTAGTTGTAGAATGGCTGGTGATTGAGGTATAACATATTGTTTATCAGAAGATACCGTCGACTGGTTACTAGTAGATTTACTCTCTTTAGTACCTACTTTTACATCACTGGTCTATAAAAGACAAAATAAAATATCATACACATAGTTTTTTCTTATCAAAGGCTCAAAAAATGTTCACCCGGATATATTGCCCTTTTACAACCTTTACTAAGATTCATAAAAGATAGCTTGAGATGCAAGGTAACATACGCCCACTGGCAGCTGTCAGAAATGATAAAACAGTCTTTAGTGACTAAAGTACGAATTTTCTCATATTGAAGAAATTATTTATGCTGAATAATTCCACAAATTTTTTCAAAATCAGTATCAATAACCCAAATACATCAAACAATTATATCACACAGCTCTAATCAAGGGCAAAAAACAACTTTTGACGCGTGTTTACAAAGTCAAGGGCAATAACTCAAAAAATGTTCATCAAAAATATCTCTTGTTAGAACTTGTCCGAGATCTTATCAATTTCAATGATCACACCAAGTTTCATCAAAATCTGTTGAAAACTGTAGCTTCTATTGTGCTCACAAACAAATTTTGACGCGTTTTTTCGTAAATTAATGGCAATAACTCAAAAATATTTCAGCGAAAATGCGTCAAGTTAGAACTTGTCCGAGATCTTATCAATTTCAATGATCACACCAAGTTTCATCAGAATCAGTTGAAAACTGTAGCTTCTATTGTGCTCACGAACAAATTTTGACACGTTTTAGCAAAGTCAAGGGCAATAACTCAAAAACCGTTCATTGAAAATGCGTCAAATTAGAACCTGTCCAAGATCTTATCAATTCCAATGATCAAACCAAATTTCATCAGAATCGGATGAAAACTGTAGCTTCAATCCTGCTCACAAACAATTTTTAACAAATTTTAAGGCGTTCTAAGTCAAGGGCAATATCTCAATAATCGTTCATCGAAAATATGTCAAATTCGAACTTGACTGAGATCTTATCAATCTAAAGCATCACACCAAGTTTTATCAAAATTAGATAAAAACTGAAGTCTCTATAGTGCTCACAAGAAATGTTGACGGATGGACGGACGGCCGGACGGACCGACGGACACTGGCGAGGACAATATACAACCACATATTCATGTGGGCGTATAAAAATGTAGCCTCTATTTGCCAATTTGACAAGTTTTCATGTTATCTCATCAATAATTCCTCATGGAACTTAACTCCATATATCTATGCAACCCCTACAGTGTAATGAAAGATATACAAATTTTAAACTTACCTTTTTATTATAGGTTACCTTAAAGGTTGGACTCCATTGTTTCAGTTGTTCTGTTTGGTATTTGAGGGCTGACAAGCTTTCTGGCTGTAAATAAAATCCAACATATAAGAGCAGATCTTAAATATTCATTTTCCTGGTTTAGGGAACCAAATTCTGAGGATTTGTAATACATCATTAAAGAGGGAACATTGTGTATGTCTCTTTTTCAAAATATTTTTATATGCTATGTGAAGACATGAATGTAAGTACTTACTTACCAATGCTGGGAAATCTGCCATATTATCTATATATTCTAATGCATGACTAGCAGTAATATTGGAACCAGATGCACTTGAGGTTGCACCAGAAAAATATTTAAATTTCTCATTTAACATCTGACTGGTTTCTTGTAAAGGAAATTTGGCAAGAGCTGATTCCATCAAAGGAAATTGTGGACTCACTGGACCAATCACAACTGGAGGTGGATTTTCTCCAAAATTTATAGTTCCAGAAATTCCAACTGGGACAGTAGTGGATACTGCTGCAGTACCGCCTTTAGCATCCAACCGTTCAATTCTGGTACCATCACTTGTTGAATGACAGGTGAAATGTAATGGTTCCACCTCTAACAATCCCAGCATGCAATTATTTCCCTGGTTACCATAGTAGTCATGTAAATGTTTATTATTAGTTTTATCTGTTGGTAAACTCAATATTTCATAGATGTCAGGTTCTTCAAGGACATTACTGGTCTGTACTGTATTGGTGGAATTGGAAGCTGAACCTTTAACAACATTAGCATACGTAGAAGCTTGGGTACCTTGTCTTAAATTAGCTGGTAGTTCTATATCAAACAGATCCGGATCAAAAGGATGACCATAAAAACCATACCTGAAAAAAAATAATAATTGAAATTATTTTTAGTGCTGAACAAATCTATTGTGAACAGTGAGATGGAACTTTTAACCTTTTTCTTATTGCATCATCATTATTCCAGTGAACCCGGCTGCAAATGTTACAGAATATCTGGGATAATCAATGACCAGCTCATAGACAAGATCCTCTGTAGTACCTTTCTATTTTTTAATTGCTTCAAGCAGTCAAGGTAATATGTCTAAAAAAAAATTCAGAGAACAAAAAGAAAATCTGACCTAGTTTTAAGGAGGTTATGAAGTGGAGAAGATCTCTCATCATATATCTTAGCTACAGTTGTTAACAATTCCATACATTTCTCAGATACACTGGCTACATGCATAGACTTGACACGATTCAATAATATAAAATACCACTGTAGAGCACCACTAGAGTGAGTACATGGTATTAATGGTAAACAATTTAACATAGCTTGTAATATATTATAACTAAAATTAGGAGCCATATCAATATCACCAGCTGATTTAGCATACCTGTAATATAAAACATTCTAATCATTACACATCCAATTCTCAGAAAATAATTAGTAGAAGGTAAAAACTGACTGTCCTCTGTCTTCTACATATATTAGGAGTTTGATGTATTTAGTTATAAATAAATTACAATTCAAAGGAATAAACCAGCAAAGCTTTAGATTTTCAACATAATACATTTGATATGCAATATATGAAAGAAAATCCTGTGGGTACACTAAAATGTTACAGATGGAATTTCTTAACATAACTTACTCTATAGCCATTGCTAACAAAGCTGCCACTCGATGTGCTGTAGTTCTGGTAGCTTCAATTAAACATGTTTTAATAATACCATGTAGATATTTCTGTATGTTTAACACTATACAACGTTCACCTGATCTATAAATATAATGCACGTTTTAATAATACCAAGTAGATGTTTTTGTTTGTTTAACACAATACAACGTTCACCTGATCTATAAATATAATACACATGTTTTAATAATACCATGTAGATATTTCTGTATATTTAACACAATACAAGTTTACCTGATCTATAAATATAATATACATGTTTTAATAATACCATGTAGATATTTCTGTATATTTAATACAATATACAATATCTATAATTAATCAAATGGACAATAAAACATCCATTTCGCCATTCTTGACTTAGTCAAAATCATGCTACTATTCAAGAACAAAAGCTTACTAACACCTTCGCATAAAAACAGTTACCTACCTTTTAGATGGATCGTTCATCTGTATAACAATAATCCAAGATAAAATATCTAGAGCTGTATTTATCACATGTTCCTGTACTAACAATTCAGTCTCATTCATACCAGCTATCAATTTCAATAAGTTCTCATGGAAACTGTATGATTCAATCATAGAATTCCTCTGTGTTCTTTCTCGTACAATACTTGATGGCTTCATTTTCCTTACAGTCACTGATAATTCTTCTAATGCATCACATCCTTTATAATCTATCTGTTTTTTATTAGGGGCTGTAGCAGCAAGGCGTTCAGTAGCCGAGGTACCAGGCATGAAGACACCAGAATTGACATTCTCAAAGAAAGCTTTGATAGTTTTCATCTTAGTCTCAGAACTACTATTAGATTGTGCTGCTTTTCTTTTGTTGTCCTGAAATAGGTATTCATTGACATCGAGTTTGAGTTGAACTCAAAATGAAAATTTTTCATTTCAAAACATCAATCAAGACAAATAATTACCATAAGAGAGTTGCTAATTTCAAAACTGTCCACTGAAAAACCTTTTCAAACATGAAGAAAATTTGATGACAATTTTCAGCTTATTTGTGTTTTCATTTGAGAAAAATTTGGACTGAAATATGGAATATACTAGAATGGTACCAACCTTTGATTTGCCTGAATCTTTGCTATCAGAAGGTTTACTGGCAAAACCTTTAATATGTATCAACAGTGATCTGGGTTTAGAGTTTAATAGTTGGGGACTTGTTAACGAGACAATACCAGTATTTCCTGATAGATCTAAACAGTTTGATAACTTGATGGGACCACATAATATTTCAGCATTATGACTGTCCAGAAAAACTGGACTTATCACAGGATTGGAGCTCTTCTCAGAGTTACTGCTCTTGCTGCGAACATCAGGTGCAGATTTACTAGGTTCATCTTGAGCTTGTTTGTGAATATTACCAATATTTTGTCGTAATAAAGTTACTTCTATGTTTGGTAGAACAGAATGAAGAGAGAACTTGATATCGACATGACCAACACAGCAGGGTTTGGGTAAAACTATTTCAAATAGATGTTCATCCCAGGTAGAACTGCAAAAAAAAAAAAATCACATAAAATTCAAATCCAAAATAAAAAATATCCTAATGTCTCTCTTCTTGAATATATGTTTTTAATTTGCAATGTATATATTGATGTGTGTATATGTGCAGTTTTATTTGGGGTTGAACATAACTAATCAAGAGAGTTGCAGATAAAACTCACCTATCTGGTGATAGCTTCCAGGTTCTGGTGTGCTGAGTGGCCTCCCCTTGTTGTTGAAGATGTTGTGGATGACGTCTCTGCTGCTGTTCTTGTTGTATTTCTGTCCAACATGGCGGAACAGTTGCAGTATATCTAGGCATCAAATTCTCAAATAAAGTTAACTCTCTCAGAAACAACAGATTTTCAGAATTTAATGGCTTCTTTGTCAGTAATTCCAAATCTATGAAAAAAGAAAGATTTTTAGTCAGTTGGATAAGTGATTAGGTGTTCTCCTCTAAGACAGAGCACTTTAGTTGAAAAACCAACTAGCAAATATCATCTAAGCAAAAGGTAAAAACAATAATATTTAATGCAAAATTAGAATAATATGATACCCTTGTCACAGCTTAGAATACATACTTGAAGTAGGCTTGGTTGTAGCATATGATGTACCATCAACACTATCATCTACTGTCATTTTACTGGATGATAAAGTTTCCTCTTCTTTTATATCATTGTGGTTATCCAGGCTGACTGCTGGCTCTATTTCCATGGCTTCAGGACAACTTTGTTCATTTATCTGATAAAAATGTAGCTTGCCAGCATCTGTACATACACACAATCTTTCTATACCTAAAATTGTACATATAAAATTCATCACAGTGTTAGGTCCACTGACGCTGTGGCTTCAAAATAACTAAATTTCAGTTACATAACAGGCAACACACAAGTTTGTAACTGACCATGTTGTTGAAATAAAACATTCAAAAACACTTACCTGTACAATAAGTTAAGGATAGGAAGTTCTCATTCTCACTAGGCACTACTTCAGCTAATACATTCATATCAGATATATTAATTATATTGATAATCCCTGACTCAAAAATCACAGCAATTTGACCACTTAATGTCTGTTTTAAATCTTTACTTAGTTTCTTTTTATTCTCTTCTTCCTCTACCTGATCTACAATTTCCTGAGGTAGGAGGAGTAGAGATTGTATCACATATTGGGTATTTACAGATTTCCATACAGCACACGGTACAGTATCTAAGGATATAAATGTGGTATTGTAATTAATCTTATAGATTAATATACCACCATAGCTATCTTGATCACTATCTGATGTATCACTGTCCATACTACATTCACTAATAAATGTTGGAGCTATAACAACTACAAGATACTGTCTATCTAGAGTAGGTGTTATAGATTTCACTTCTAGACCTTTCTCATTAAAACCATCAGGGAATTCTACACACTGTGTAATAGTGCCAGGCTGAATTTTGGTTTTAATCACAGTATCACATATATCTGGTTTACTTGAAGATACACCAGATGAAGAAGGTTTTGGACCACTGTTGGTATTGATATCGGAATCAGTCTCACTAATGGTACCATCACTTGGAGAGCCAGGAATTTGCATATTCCCTCCTAGTAATGGTGGAGGAGGAGTAAATCCCACAATTTGAACATCTGGATCCGGCCAAGGTTCATAATCTAAAAATATGGACATATCAGAAGGCACATAATTATTAGATATTTGATAGTTCATCTTGACATCTCCATTCATCATTGGTTTACTTGGTTTATCCACAGTCTTGATATCTTTTCTGATCAACGGTTGGTCAGCTGATACTATAAATAACTTAGGTACTGAATTACTGGATACTATATCTTCATTGTCACTACAACATTCACTAATAATTGGTGCTTCACTACTCACTACCTGGTTCACTTTATTCAATAACTGGACATTCTCGTCTCTAGTGTCACTGATAGAATCATTATCCAGGTCATCATTTCGTAGTAAAACACCACAGATTAGAACTGGTGGATATTTAACAGATGATGTTGGGGGAAGGAAGTCTCTATTTTTACTCACAACACTCAATGCCGTAACTTGAACATCATTAGAGGGTCTAAATCGCTGTACAGATATATTATCTAGAGGACAAAACAGAATCAATATTTAAATAGTAGTAATTTTTGTGTGTTCAAATAAATTGTCTATTGGGCATGGATAATCTTATAATTTTGTTCATCATTCTGGCATAAATTGAAAAAGATAAATCATTATCACTAAAACCACAATAAGAATACCTCTTTCTGCAGTATGTTCTTCTTGTAATGATATTTCATGTATTTCTGTTTCTGTACCAGATGAACAACTTGTACCACCACTTTCTTCTGATGTTATGCTACAAGATAAAGCAAATTCATCTTAAAGGTCATCAAAGTCAATCCCTTTTATACAGCACGAAATAATTTAATTAATGCATTGCATTTCAAACAATGGAAAGTATTATTATTACACATACACTGTAGTTTTTATACACAAAATAATAAGAACTGATGTTCATTACCTATGATAGTATGTTCATTTACAGTTTTTTCATTTCAATATGAATGTTAAATTTCTTACCTATGTGATTCTGCAGCAGGATCAGTCGATGTAGAATGAGGAGAGACAGGTTTAATCTTGTCACTTGGTATAGATTTACAGACAATTTTCTGTGGATCCAGATTAAATTGACAATGTTTCTGGAAAAAAAAGATTTAGAAATTATCAATCTTGATTCTTCCAGCTGTCAACCATATTCAGCGATCATAAAGACAATACTAACTCCAATTTTGTCATTTTCAGCTATTCTTATCTGTCACTGATAACATGTTGATGCAATCCATGTCCACCTAACTTAATACCAAGAATTAATGCTGTTAAATGCAATGCGCAAATCTTGAAATTTTATTTCACGTGATTTTATGTTATAAATAATAAATCATACCTTTAAAACTCTAGTCATATCCCACACTACAATATTACCATCTAGAGTAGATGTAGCTAAATAATCTTCATCACATGTAGTACTGATACAGTGTATCTAAAACAAGACCCATATTTAAATCTTTCAAGGTTCAATAAAACAAAAATATAAGTCAAAAAGACTAGGGTAATAAGTCAATCACTAAAATTTATTTTAAATTCAGTTTTATTAACCAATCATATCACCTTATATATCAAAATCTGGATTTCATCTTAGTTTATTTTATGAACAGATGCTAAAAGAAAACCTTAGCAAAACCAAAATAGCCTGTTTGGGATCTTACAAAATGGTACAGACAGAGGTCTGAAGAAAAAAAATAAAATGCACCTGCAAATTACTGCCAAAGAATGACTAGATAAAGTTGATATTAGCTTTGTTGGCTAAATTCTGGTAGATATAACAAACTCAGTGGTAAGAAGAAATAAAAATACCAACCTGATCAGGTTGAGAGGTACCATGTAATAAAGCTGGTTGTGTAGCATATGTTACAGATAATGGTACATTCTGTGTATATTCACCTTTCACAAAGGGACAAGATGGGGAATGACGTTCATGCTCTGACCTGAAATTCAATCATAACAAAATTCTTCATTTGGAGCAAATGTTTAATGATAAGTATAAAGTGTGTGAGAAATACATCAATAGCAATGTAAGTGAAAAAATCTGATTAAAAATGAAGGTTCATTTGCCTTGGGGTTGATAATAACAATTACAGTATCCATGTATCATTATGACCACTTCCTTGAGTGGCATTTAGTAATTGATGATATTAACACGAACACAATTATATGGATAACAATTACTTTAATAAATAACTTGCCACGTTTCGACGATGATTCTTTCGTCTTTATCAAGCAATGATACAAAATAACAAGGCATTCAGAATATATAGTGTGAGGCAACAATAACAAGGATTAAAACAATAGGAATACATTAATCAATTATGTAAGGGTAATCACAAGGGTGTGTGATTAGAGAAACCATTAAAGGGATGTAGTAAATTACTTCTTGATTATAACGGTGGGGATGTGTCTACAAAATCACGTGCTCCTGCAATGAAGAATATGTTGGAGAAACAAGATGCCCTCTCAATCTCAGAACGCAAGTACACCTATCCCTAGCACCTACCCAAACATCCGCAGTTTCTGAACACATCAAAAACAACTGACGACACAAAATTGGCAATATCGAAGCCCTTACTAAACACCAAACCAACAAGAAAACAAGACAATTGACCGAAGCCATTCACATAAGGAGATACCAACCGCAACTCAACAGAGATACAGGTGTTTATTTATCACATGCCTATGACCCTTTAATTAAATAACCCCACCCCAAATTTTGTATTTAGATTGTCATCGGCATCTTACTAGTCAAGTTTTTTATGTTTTATTTATCATCACATTGTACGATTATAATCACCACCACCCCACCATTATAATCAATTGTAATTGTTATCCATATAATTGTGTTCGTGTTAATATTATTATGACTAAAATAATATTAAACTTGGCCAAAATGTGTCTTTGTTCATCATTGGACATACCTGGTGTCAAAACTACACAACAGAATCCTTCTATACAATAAATCCATAAAAGATAATTATTCATGAAACTAAGCAATTTTTAAAGCATGCTTAAATAATTATTTAATTTGATGGACGTATCGTCTTATATAGAGATTCTATTTTTTCGTCATACATGGCACCTGATTAGTCCAATTGATGGACTAAGTTTGAGCCTTTAAATTTTATGTCCATTGTAAGAGGTAGTATTCCTTTAAAAGAGCACCTATGGCATCTTATGCCTTCTTCAACTAAACAAATTATCTTTATTGTCAAATCTTGTCAAGCTTTATTCTTACCAAGGTTCATCAGTTGGTTCCCAACACACTAAACATACATTACATGTAAAACACATTGCTCTATCATCACCAGTAGCATTAGGTTGATGATAAAACCCAGCTTGAGCCATAGGATCTGGTAAAGCCCACCTACAATATAATTAAATGATCAATGAATAAGATTGCATTTAAATTACCCAATTTCAATTTACTCCTTCAGTTCAGTTCATTTCTAGTGAAGATCAAAAATTAACCAATTTTGCTTAAAAATTCAACTATAACCAGACTAAATCCATACATTAAGACCAAATAAACATGAAAGAAAACTTACTTGTAATTCATATGAGGCCATTTTATAAAGGTATCTCTCCTAGCAGCTTCACTATACATAGAGGCACGTTCAATACCGCCAGCCCCACCATCATGTAGATTACTAGGTAATAAGTAACCGAGACGATCTGTTATAGCTGAGGCTATTGATAAACCATGACCATGTTGTGTTGCTCTTTTCATTTCCTTTACAAAACTTCCACATACTGACTTGAGAGCACAGTGGGGCAGTTGTAGACATACTGTAGCCCACTGAAATAAAAAAAAAAAAAAAAGAAGGATTTATTGAAATATAAAATCATTTATCAAAATTATAAACTATAATATAGAAAAAGCTCTATCATTGACAACACACAATTTACCTAGAAAACAAAATGTTAACGTAGTATGTCTTAAGAAAGTGTAAAAGTTTAAATTTGTTTGTCTTATAGAAATAGAAATAATCAAATGAAATGAAATGCATTTAGGAACATCAGCACCAAACGGGCTATATAGCTCCAGAAATAATCAAGATTCAGGAAGTTTTAGTAACAAGCTTATAGTAACTTACTTTTGCTGTTTTATGACTGCCTTTAGTCAATTCTTGTGTCACTTCTATACCACGTTCAAATTCCTTCAATACCTCCTCCACATAATCTACACCTGGTAAATCTGCATTGACTAAGGCTTTAAATAATTGAGTAGCCTGTAAAAGCATGAAGTGTATTTTAGTGATCCAGAATGAACAGTCTGTAGTCAGTGATAGCCCTATGACTATGAAAATATCCTGAATCAAAATGGTCTATTTAAAAGATACTAAGACTTCCAGTTTAAATTCAACTTACTACCCTCTTTATCTTTTAGTCAATAAATAACGATATCAATTTCCCCTTTTTTCTAAAATTATCCAACTGATATCGCAAATATATTTTGTCTGAAAATGCAGTCTATTTTCTCTGATTCTTCAAGATAATATATGTACAATATTTAGAGTATTTTCCTGCAAAAACTACTTTAAAATTAAAAGAATTGAAGTCTTACCTCAACAAGGGGAAGTTCACATTTAACTATATCTTCTGTCTTATTTACAGGTACTTGTAAGGCTGTGTCTAATAACAATATACCACGTAAATCTTTCCTAATGCCTATAGCTCTTCCATCACAAAATACAGTTCTATCTTTCTCTGGTAAATAGCAACACTGTATCTCTGAACACGATTCAGCTAAAATAATATAATCATCAATTCATTTTGGGGACTCAGGCTGAATATAGGTCAGTTGTCTGATCTCTGAGACTGAGAGTAAAAACAACATGTATGTTCTGTTTATATTTCTATATCACTCTACAATTGATGTATTGAACACTATTCTAACATTGAAAACATTTTTTATAATTGTAGTTGGACTCCATGTTGGACATTTTTCTTGATGTGCCATATTCTTTTTAACATTCTTCTCAGTGATAGCGTTCACAGCTCTTTAAATCTATGTGTGTCAAAAGTTATCCGCATTTGAATGTTAAAAAGACGAGGCAACACTGCCATATTGAGAAAATACATCTTAAGAAAAGAGATATTTTCGAAGGAATTATACAATTTTTGTACATTTCTGGTACTTTTTACATAGACTATTTATTTACATATATTCGAGATTCAAATCAACCCCCCAAAATGGCACACCTGTTCCTATAATTAGTTCTCTGAGCTAAGACATTAGAATTCTTGTTTAAATTTGTAATGATAATTCTGATGATTTCATTGGGATTAACAACCATAACAACTATTAATATAATCAGCTCATTCCAGTCTGACTTATTGTACAAATCAAAGATTGATTCACATAAAGTGATAAGTAGTTAAGTAAAATATTTGGTTATTGGCATTACCAAGTCTACCTAAAAATGCAATGTACTGGTCATATTCACGACTAGAATCATTCCCAGATGTGCATAGGTTATGAATATAAGCTAACAGTCGGTCTACTCCTTCAATTAATTCGATTAATAAAACGATTCTATAATTCTGTAAGCTTAGTATTAGTGTTTTTTATACACTGGCATTCAATATAACATAATCCTAATCATATCATTTTTTTTTGCTCCATAAAATGACCAATTAATGCAAGACTATTTATATTATTCTATTCTAACGTACACATAAAAATAGGTAATGATTGATTGATTTGGTCACTATACTACTTAATTAATACTCTCATTAATCCATTAGACTACATGTACACATACAAATCAAATGCATAAATCTAAAAATAGATTTGTAAAGCTTACATTATAATTTATTTTTAGCCAGGTCATGATAAAAAACTCAAAACATAATCATGACACCTTGAAACATTAAACCATAATTGATAAATTGTCACATACAGCTCTGAAGTCAATAAGCAAATAGACTTAGCTAACATTAGTTTCATTGACAATTCTGTACAGGTTATAAATTATAACAGTAAAAAAATTAGCTGACTACATCTACTCAGCCTAATCAAAACAAAACTATTCCCATTGCACAACTCACCACACAAATCGGATTTTTGTAAAATCACGCCGGATGTAGCATCCAAAACTTTGACCAATTTATCCTTTGTGGAAAGAATAACTGAATTCAATGCTGTGTGATATGTTACATGCTGTACATTTTCTCCAACGGATAAACATCCGTCTTCAATTATTATCCACTGCTTTTCAGTGGCCGCCATGCTAGATTTCCCCAATTCTCGCAATGACATCACTTTCATTAATATCTTCTTTGCTCTTTTATTAATTTTTTCAAACTGATAGAACAATATATTTTATTTATTGAAAACGAAAATTGTTTGAAATTTTTATAAAAATAATTTAATCAAAATCTTTGTTGACATGGGTTTGTTTTCATCTTCGATCACGTGATCAAGTAACGTGATCTAAATAGGCATGGTGGCTGTCAAGTAAACGTGCTTCAAACAAATATTACTCATTTCAGGTTCCACGTAGTTTACTATCAAGATGTCTGAAAATATTCAAATTATATCAAACAGCTCTGTCAGAGTGTTAATTACATCTGTAGCCAACCAGTTCGGCGTGGAAAGGAGGTTCCCGAAAGACATAACAATCGCAGACTTCAAGGTAGGCCAAAATAACTGGTGGTGTGTGTAAATTGCCAACTTATTTACTTAAGATTCTTGATACTAACGAAGCCATACGAATCATAAGGCCTTGATGAAACCCTTATACATTAGAATATTTCATTGTTAGTTACTAGTACCAGTATACTGTTAGATCTACTAATGTATTCACTTTGCAGTTTGACTACTCCGGCTACTGCGCTACTTATTACATTATGTACAGTGGTGTAACCTATTTTCGTGGATATAAGGATTCAATACCGAATTTCGTCAAAGTTATAAAAACAAATTTTTTTTTTATGTCTTAGATGTTTCCTCAGATATTCTACAAAATAATTAAAATTGGATTATTTTGATTTCCTTTATTAATCCTCCACTTTGACCCATATTTCATGAGCAACCAACTCGGTAACGGCGACAGAATGCGTCACCTATTTTCATGTACAACGTTTGATCTATAAATAAGTCTAGAAAAACATGTTGTATGGATACTGGGTGTTATAATTAACTTCTCTTAGTATTTATCTTTAATATCAATTGATTATAACTAGTGACAATTCCTTCAAAGAACCACGATTTTGAAATAAAATAGTGACTGACAAAATAAGATACGTAGCGTGATTTATTGCTAAAAGTCATTGAAACAACATAAGAATATGGTCCACTTTGTGTTCCATAGAAATTTTCTGCTGACACGAAATCCGCTAGTTGATCACATGACTTCATTCGTTGGACTACATTCTAGCAGTCGACACTTGGAATTCCGATTACCGCTTGGGATTGTAAGGAAATTCGGCCGATAAAAAATGGTGACGTTTGGTAATAAATGAAATCCGCCATTTTGTATTTGTCAAAGTATACATTAATACATTTTACCTTGCTTGAAACTACTGGATTCATTCTACTAGCTGATATTGTAGAGAAAACCCATGTTTATTAAAACAAACTAATGTGGAGGTCGCACATGTAAATTATTAATCCTTTCTGGAAATCCACGAATAATAGGTTTCCACGAAATTAGGTTACTTGACTGTATAATTCAAATAACAGTATATCTAGTAAACTAGACAATTATATTAAGTATAAGTACTTATTCATTAAAAATACCACATGATATTTAGGTCCTGAAAACGTGCAGATATCTGTAGTAAACTTACTACTATGTAGGCCTACTAGTTAATTGTATTTATGTGCCTGTCTTAACACGCAGGGATATAGCTCTACCTTCTTTTTAATATCATATAGGCCTGTTGACTTTTTCATTCAGATTAATGTAGATATTTTTATATTTGCTTATACTGTATTTTATTTTTCATTACTTATTAAAATTAAAGATGAAGTTAGTTTTATTGACTGGAGGTGGACAAGCAACAATGAAACTGCAATTATTTGGGAAAGATAATAAATTAATGTGTGTTATGGATGATGATTCAGCCCTACTTGGTTCGTATCCTGTAGATGATGATATGAGAATACATGTAGGTACACTATTTGGTTATTGCACTGCTTTGTTTTGCTTTGTTTTTTTTTTTTTTTTTTTTTTTTTTTTTTTTCGAATTCTGGTCAGAACGCCCAGCCAAAACTATACATGCCACATAAATACTGTTAACATTTCTCCCGTTAATGCCGCGAGACTAAATCTGATAAATGTATTTTCATGCATTTTTTTCCAACCGGAAATGACATAGAACAAAATCCATTATTTACGTTTTTGCTAATTTTCGGCTCCAATTTTGATCGGATTTTGATCGATCTTTTTTTGTTAATAAGTTCGCGCTAACGGCTATAATATAGCAATTAAAAAATTCTAAAATTTAAACTTTTGTCGCTGACTTTTTTAGTTTCAATTTTATTTCGATCGATATGAAAACTTACAGATAGTTAGATATTTTGATTGCAAACTAAAATTAATTTTCAAAGTTTCAATATCACTTCCGGTTTTGAAGTTATTCGCTCGTAAAGTTGAAATTTTAACTTCCGGAATTTTGCAGATATTTGAAAAATTCTTTTTGCAATTAGTTAAAGTAGACCCCATAAACATGTTGAGATGAATAAATTTGACCTGGAAGTATAGGGTCAAACGCCATCTTGATACACCTAATTTTTATAAAACTCAAAATGGGCCTTAGGGGAAAAGCCGATGTGTGTGATGATAGTGTCTATAGAATCTGCAATCGATTGCTAAGAAAATTTTGGAAGCCGATTTTTGAATTTTGGCTTTGTTTATTTTTTAATTACCGGTTATATTTTTTCAGTAATTGTCAAAACTGCTAAGGCATATATCTTGTTACCTTGACCTTTGGTGACCTTGTGACCTGCACAAATGTTGTGGTCCCTAACAAGATCTATCTAAAAATATATTTACTTTTGTCACGCGAAGTTAACTTCCGGTTCTAGAGCCATTTGAAAATCGCAATTTTTATCTTTAAAGAGCTCTGTCACGTGACCTAATTATCATACGACAAAATTTATTTCATTTCCTTAATGAGTGCGATTTCACCTTTCTGAAGATATATCACACTTGATATATTTATCGATATTGCGCTTTTAAAAATTAAAAAATTTTACACTGACGTCTATAGTAACTGTGCGTAATTTGGTTTTTACCGTATAAACTCAAACTTTTAACGTATAACAACGAATATCTCATGATCTAATAATTGTAGATGCTGGAAATTTTGAACATCATTTAACATTGAACACATGATAGCAGACATAGCAAAATTTTGGGGGTGGGCGTGGCACATCCGGGTTAGATTTACATATACATTATATATTTGTAATTTATCATAACTTGCAAAGAATACATTTTTCACTGATAATATTTTGCAGGAAAATAGGTCACTAGTTTGGCCAATATCGTAAGAAGATAAATCACTTCTGGCTTTTTACTTTTAAAAAAGGAATAGCTTACAATTGACTAAATTTTCATTTTTGACCTTCATCTTTGATGACCTTGAACTTTTCAAGGTCAAACGTCATTGATCTTTAATGTCAATTCATGTTTTGATCTATGATGTCCAACACCTCTTTTCGGTTTTACAGGCTTCCAAAAACAGCAATTTTCAAAACTTTTAAGGCTCATATCTCGTGACCTTGACCTGTGGTGACTATGTCGCCTGAACAAAAGTCACAGCCCTTGACAACATCTATCACATGGTGTCTTTGATTTTATTGTACGATGTTTACATCCGTTTTTATAGCCATTTGAATATTACAAATATGACAATAACACAAACCGAGTGCCAGGAATTTTCTTAAATGGTTCGAACATGGATTCCTATATTTCAAAATGTCTAAATATTGAAGAGACTAATCCAATTCCAAACAAAAGAATCAATTCTACAAAAGTAATTTTTAATTTTTTTAAAAAAGAAATTCAAAAATGTGTTAGAATTGTATCATTGACCAGTGAAAAGTTCTAAAAGAAACATAAGGGGTATATTATCTTGTAATTTACAATACAACATTAGAAGGAAAATCTGTGAAAATACTCTGGTACCATGAAACCTATCAAATAAGTATAATGAAATATACTATGCATCATTCTACCAGGATGCAACGCGGGCGGCTCTAGTTTTAATTATAAGCTGATAGCTATTTCTAATCTTGGTTAACATGTGAAACTTGGATGAACTTGAATAAATCATCTTCACTATTCTTCACTCATAATGCCAGTTGACCCAGCTGTAAATGGGTATGGATAGTCCAGGAAAGATTAATACTAAGAGGTTTGGCCAAGCACCAGCTGGTAGAATGGATCCTCATGAATGTCTTTCTTTCTTTTCATTGTGGAAGCTGAATATCTTTGCTACATATCTATACATTTGCTTCATTAAAATGGAACAAATTTTTGCTGAAAAGGCTGCTAGTTTTGACATTAACACATCACACATCTTTGAATATGCTATCTGATTAAAATGAAGATTTAGATGTTTTATATTGTGTTGTTTTCTACTGGTTATTATCATATTTTTGATACAGCAATTGTTATTGTATTGTTGAATACATGCATGTCTATAAACTATTATCTTTGATAAATTTGATACCAATATAATGATTATTTACCCAATGAAGGAAATAAACCAATTAAGATGATTATAACATGCTATGTATTATTATCTATTCAGGTAGAAGATAAAACTATTCAACTAGGAGAATTTGAAGATGTATCAAAAGTAGAGAAATATGAAATGAATGAAGATGAATATGAAAAACGAACAGGTACCTTGATTGATTTGTTATTTTAACTAAGAGATGTCTCATTCACATAACATTATTTATAACTTAATTAATTTATTAGATATGATGTCTAAGCTAGCAGCGTGATATTTGACTGTAATTTTGATCAAGTCTTAAAAGCTAGATTTGTTTGTTTGTAAAGATATTACATCAAAATTGTTGTTATTACTTTAATTGGAGAAACAATTGCGGTGGGAACTTAAACTAACAATTTCTAAAATTATATTCATATTGCAGATTCTGTAAGGGCATTTAAGGAAAGAAATAAAATGGGTAGATTTAATCCTGAATTACAGAAATTAAAAGCAGATGAAAAACAACAAAAAGATTTATTAGAGAAGGAAAAAGCTGAAAGTATGAAAATAGGAGACAGGTAAAACACTCTATATAGTCAGTTATATAGTCATATATTAAGGGATTTTACCAGATGGTTACACAATTAAATTGAATATGGTTAATGTTATTATGGTAGTTTGACAGTTTGGACTCTACTTTCTTGTATTAATTTTGAAATATTTATATCATAGTCATAATGTAGAGTTGTTAGTTAATAGTAAAACTGGAACTGTTTTAATAAAAATTTATTATCAAATGTAGTTTAGACTTCTATCAATTTCCTATTTGACAATTTTAACAAAACCAATACTCTGTTGAACATTGGGAGACAGAATTAAGACACAATTCCTGTTTTCATAAACAAACTCCTCTTAACTGTTATGTTGGTATATGATCTAATTGAAATGTTTATTTGATTGAATAGATGTGAAGTAAGAG